ACAACCATAATACCACTTGGAAACACTAGAGGAGGGAGTTTAAAAGTTGTCTGTTTCTACTTTAAGATAAGATAAGCATTGAATGGGATCAATACCACCCATGCACCCATTGTCATCCACTTATATAGGGATGGGTCATGGGGGCAGCAGGCCAAGCAAAGCACCCCAGACATCCCTTTCCAAGCAGCGGTCTCGATAGCCTCCCCAAACTCCTCCCACACCCAGGTTTTTGATTCAGTGACCACCACGGCTACAGCCCTTCTGGGCATGATACACGGCGCCCGGTGGCATCAGGGGGAAACGTGGCGGGACAAGGACAAAAGTTAAGGCGGCAAAAGTCCAACTGGGGCACGGGAGTAGCGGTGAACAGGTCCAACAAACATCTACTTTCACTCGAGAGAGTGGTGTTTGTGTCCTGTAAGATTCTAAAGCCAAACCCTATTCTTTTCTCCTAAACCCAACTATGTGCGTTTGTTGTTGGAGGGAAAAAAATGTCAATTTGCGGTGTTGTACCTAGGTAGTGTGTTTATTTTGAAAGAGACTGCATGTACACATTAAATTTCCTGTGAAAACTGAAGTGTACTTTGAAAGAAGACAATACATGTAACAGGCAGAACTTGACACAGAGTCCCAGAACATCAACAACCAACACACACAGGGTACCTTGCACATCGTATGTGGACGCGGAAAGTCCACGACCAAAATGTAACTATGTGATGGGGTAGGAGTGAGAATGTGTTCGGCCTGATGGCCTCTCAGATTGCCACCATGACAGGCACCACCAACCTTCTGTCCACAGCTCCAAGAACATGGACCACTCGGATTCCATGTCCCCAACCTACCCCGGGATGCACGAGAAATACTTCCAGAGGTGGGAGTTGAATACCCCATGGACGGGGGCCTTGGCCAGATGTTCTCAGTTCACCCTCACTACATGTCCCTACCATGTAGGAACATTGTGTTCAAACAGCAGAGAGTTACCAAAAATGGATAGATAGCATAGCCTGAAAAATACTATATACAATGTCGAGCAGAAAACACAATGAAACATTTACAGGAAGTTGTACAAAACGTGTACTATTATGTCCAAAGTATTGACCAAGCATTTGAACTTCAACGTATAAATAGACCAAACAATATATAAACGTAGTTTTAGAAAACAAAAAAGAAAAATGTCTCGCGAACAAGGCTGGATGGGTGTCAAGACAGTTGTTAACCACGAAATACAAAGACAGAGTTCACAGCTGATGGTGAAAGAGATTGACATGTTGCAGATGAAAGAAATGTGTGAAGTACACCAGCAGTTACTTTGATAGATAGAAAGATAGATAGATAGAAACAAACCCATTGGTAAAATAATTAATCTCTTAAATGTTCACCATTACATGTTTGCATGTGTGTACACATTTGTTTGTACATGTGTCGCATGTGTGGCTTCCACATCTGTGTATGAATGCAAATAAATGTTTAAGCATGTACATATTTTCTTCTTATTGATGTGATACATATTTTTTGTCTTTAGCTATTTGATGTTTTCTGTTATATTGATCTATTCTTAGTAACTTTAATTGATTTTATCATCACAGTCGACAAAGTTTCTTTCAATCCCACTGTTGACTAGATCAAACTGCAGTTGGGCAACACAGACTTCTTCTAATGGTTGATAGAAGTACTGGACGGAGTCGAGGTACTTGGTGTCATATGGTTTGAATAGGCCTGTTAACTGCCATCGCCATCACACATCATCAAAACTACATTATTAAGTGGTAGGTTCTTGTTATTTTCCCAACAGGGTACTGGGAGAGATTGAAAAGAGAGACATTGAGTGCAATAAATTCCCATCTGACTCATAAAAATGCAACATGACACTTTAAAGGTCAAACCGAGAATCCCTGTGACGAGGCGTCATGTAGTGAGTTTTAGTTCTCACTTGTTGTAAATTTGATCCTGTACTTGAGCAGTTGCACTCAAGAGAATTCTACTTTTATTAACTTTCTTAAGATAAGATCTAGCTTTGTGTATTTCTCAGACAGCTTTGTCTCGTCTTCACCACAGAACCAGCGCAGGACACTACGTATAACTGCAGCTATATGTCAGGCTCACCATATGTGGGCTTTAAATTACTAGGCTTGGCCGTAGCATCACAGCACATCATTTAAGTCGCCGAGACCTTTAAAAACTATTATTGTCCTCGAGGCAAAGATAAACAGTGATTTACTGAGGAGAAAGACAGCTTCGGTTCATTTCTAAGTGCTGGTGTATGCAAGCTGAGCGCCGTGGGGCATCAAACCTGTGGCTTCTTAATGATCTCAGACTGTGTGTGGGTAGAAAACGTTCTCCTGTCACTTCACCCATAAAGGTCTGTTCTGTTTTCTCCACCTGGGCTTGTTTAAAACTGTTTTTATCAGCCTTGAGGTGTCGATAGCCAAACACAAAGACAACTGGTATCAATCAAGTGCAGGCCAACGAGAGGCTGTAACTCTGTTATAGACAGGAAGGATGTGAGGGGAACAATCAGGGTCTGAGGCTAGATCAAGGTGGGTGCTTTGATCAGTTTGTAACTCAATCAGGTCTTTGCACACACACAGACACAAACATACTTACAGAGGATTTGTATCCCTACATTTATGAGGACTCTCTTTGACTAAATACTTCCAAACTTATTTTATTTTGGACATTATTTTAGTGTGCAGCCACCTGGCTAGTGGCCCTATGACTCTCTAGGTGCCCCTCCTGTGTTGGTTTTGTTCGTTTAGGTACATCATGTTATCTGCGTTGTGTCTTTTCAAAATACATTTCCGTTTTCACAGGATATGGTGGGGCTCAGAGTATCAAATAAATGCAGCTGCCCAGTGCATCTCATACCACTATTAATGGCTGCCTCTGTGTCTCAGTATCTGATGTTAAGGGCCACTGACCAAGTATCGAGTTTTGGTGAGTCAGAGGTGAGACATGGTTGGTTAAAAGGAAACAAATTCTGCTGACCTGCACTCATTTGTTTAATCTGTTTTAAACTTATGGGGGGTTGGCAGACTATTTCTTAGCAGAGCACATAAACCTTAGGAAGTCTCTGTTGTTTCCCCAACAAACTTACCGCGGAAGATACACTCAGCCAAGAAAAAATGCAGTTCATAACTCAGCGTGAAATTGCAAATCGTCCTTTTTCCAACCCAGTCACCACCACCAGAATGAATGTTGGCATTGTATGTTACATTTGTATGTTATTATGTGGTGGATATGTTAAAACTATAAATTTTAACAGCACTGTGGTTAACATGGTCAGGTTTAGGCACAAAAACTACTTGGTTATGGTTTGGAAAAGATCATGTTTTGGTTATAAGGTCTAATGTGAAGAACAGTGGCATCTAGTGGTGAGGTCGCAGATTGCAATCAACTGAAACTTCTCCCGTGTTCAAAGCATATAGGAGAACCACGGTGGCCGACACGAAATCACGAACTGGGAGAAATTTTCCTTGAGGGCTTTCTACCAGAAAGGGATGTCTTGGTTAAGGTTTAAAAAAAAAAGTCGGGGTTTGGGTCAAAATGAGTAGATTTCAGACGGAAAGGGATTTCATGGAGAAAGCCTACAAGGAAAACTTCTCCCACTTGAAAACATGAAAACGTGAATGGGCCTAACTAGAGACAGTATTTGATTTGACCATTCTGGGCTACCGTAGAAGCCATGGAAGAGGGCCCACTCTGTTTTGATATAAATGACTCATTCTAAGGTAATGAAAACACAACAATTCTAATTTTCAAGTGATTATACACTAATGAAAACATAGTTATTAAAAAAATTCATATTTCTACCAATATGTCAGCCTAAATCTGACACACTGGACCTTTTAAATATCCAGTTTTGGTGCCATAATTCCCACTGGATACACAGCGATGGCTTGCTAGAAAACAACTGTTGTTGTTTGTTGGATTGGAACAGTGTTTTGCAGCTTGGCAGCTGTCACACCATCCACTATCCCCTTTACCCCCGATGACAAAGTCAACTCATATATGTCATCACAACTATGTCACTTTAGAAATGTTGATATGATACGTATGAAACGTACAAATGGACAGTGACTGGGCTGCCTTTTTTACTCTTCGATTTTTACACATCAAACAAACTACACACAGTGTATTCATTAGTAAACCCTTTCCAGTCTTTATGGCTGAAGCCTTATATTCACCATGCAGATACGAAAGTGGTATCTATCATCTCATCCAGTTCTCACCAAGACAGTGAATAATCAAAATGTTGAACTGTTTCTCTGAAATCCTGACTAAGACTCCCCCTCTGAACTTCTTCACTTTCCCTTATTACTATGTCTTTGTGAGGACATTAATCCTTCTGGGCGAACTGCACACTCACACCTCAGCGCTGAACAGCTCTGGCATGTAGGGTTGAGTCGTTGGACATGTTGTGACTGGTGTGCATGAACAGGTGATACATGCCATATTATTCTATTTCTTACTACCTACTACTAAGGGTTTTCATGTGTTTTTATCAGAAGCCATTGGGGGTTTTCAAAGTGAGTTTACCAACCAGGTGAGTGTGCATGAACGTGCTTGTGGTTTTTCCTGTGAACTCGAGTGGCAAGTTACTCAGCAAAAAGGATGTGAGTAAAAGTGACAAAGTTCCTTTGAAGCACAAGTGAAATGAAAATATTAAAAACTTCAGATAGTGAGGTATGACTGGAATACTGCACTATAAGGCAACAACATCTGTATCTCCTTCTCAACACAAATATGAGATCAACTTGTCCTGATATGATTTATTTGGGACATTTGCCTGAGGTGAATACATGTAGTTTGATACTGTAATAGGAGTAGAATAATCTGCAGGCAATGTTCTGTTGTTTCATACTGGGAGATAACAGTTCAGCTCTTTTTTTAATAACATTTATCAGATGAGACAGTCTTTTCCTATCACTGTGAGGCTGCTGGGTAGAGCTCTGGGCGTTTTCATTCAGCAGAGGTTTCAACACCTCCCTCCACTCGCAGTTTAAATGTAGAGTGAGAAAACCTCTGTGAGGTGCCAGTGTCCTCCGTGAAGGAGCAAAGGCGCAGCGATGGAGCTCTTCTCTGTGTTCGTCTCCGCTGTTTTGGTCTGTGTTGTCAGAGCTGGGATTCCTCATGATGGAATACACTGGACATACACAGGTAGGCGCCTTATTTTACAAATTAATTTAAATCACACGCCTAATTTAAAAAACAAAAGTGGCGGAGTTATATTGGATTTAAATGTTTGATGCGTAAAACGCGCGTAACAACCTCTCCAGTGCGTATTTGTTTTGAGATAAGAAACTGCCAAGTTGTTTGGATATTACAAGGCTCTTGTTATTATCCCACATTCACTCGAGGCAGTTGGTTGCTATGTTTTCAGTGTGGCGCGCGCTGCTTTTGCCAAATACCCCGGTGGATAACCACAGTCAGACTGTGTGGTTACACCAAGAGCTTATGAAGACAGTCACAGAGACAAATTAATAGGTGTATGCAAACAGCGTGGCAGCACTTAATTATGTGAGAGTGTACACCATCGGGAAGTACAACACAACCAGCTGCCACAATATCCAGTTGAGCAAGTCCCGTGCGTGTCATGTCACTATGGTTTAAAATCCATAAACAAGGACTGATATATCGCAATAGTTCGAACAAGGTCGCATCTTAAATTCATTTATCTGTGGGGGATTTTTACAATATGATAATATTTTTCGGGGCTTGTTGTTATCATTCAGAGGGAGCTTTGGACCAGATGCACTGGCCGACTAAGTACCCTTCATGTGGCGGTAAGAAGCAGTCACCAATAGACATCCAGCGGCGAAGCGTGAGACATAACCCAGACATGCTGCAGCTGGAGCTTACCGGATATGATGCTCAGAAAGGAACCTTTCAGATGACCAACAACGGGCACTCCGGTAAGAGAAGAAAGCATGGAGAAAATTATTAAATTTCTCAACCTCAGAACGAAGTCATTGTAAAAGGGTCGTGTCACTGTTTCTGCTGTTCTAGTTCCTGAACAGTCACAAAACTGTATTTGACTGCTGATCATTGTACTGTCAAGATTTTCAAATGTTTGAAAGTTTTCCCTCTTTTACTTAATTTCTCTATGGTGTAAAACTCAATGAACACATTCTCAAACCTTTTGTGAGTTGTGTAATCTATGCACATTTTCCCCCAGAGCACCAATATTGTTCGATGGTAGGCCTATTCATTTGATTAAAAAAAAATTGCATCACTTCTCATCAATAATATATATTTGAATTATTGAGTACTTTATGTCCATTGTGGTAGATTGCACAACTTTTCACAGAAATATCAGTCATGAACATAGCCCACATAACACACGCTATCTGTATAAGTACAGGCATATAGCGAATAAAGATTTCACATTATTTTAGTTTTATTTATTTATTTTATTTGTACTTTTGTAATATTTTTGTGGCTAGCACTACATCACTTTTTTTCTTTTTCTCTTTAATCAGACTCTTGAGCTGCTCTCATCTGTTATCTTGTTTTGTCTTATGTTGTCTTGTGTCGTATGTTGTCTTGTCTTATGTTGTCTTGTCATGTCTTATGTTGTCTTGTCTTATGTTATCTTGTGTTGTCTTGTCTTATGTTGACTTGTCTTGTGTCGTATGTTGTCTTGTCTTGTCTTATGTTATCTTGTCTTGTCTTATGTTGTCTTGTCTTGTCTTATGTTGTCTTGTCATGTCTTATGTTGTCTGATCTTGTCTTATGTTATCTTGTGTTGTGTTGTCTTGTCTTGTCTTAAGTTATCTTGTCTTGTCTTGTGTTATGTTATCTTGTCTTGTGTTGTCTTGTCATACGTTGTCTTGTCTTATGTTATCTTGTCTCGTCTCGTCTTATGTTATCTTATCTTAAATAAATTTGTTTTGTTTTTTTATTTATCAGGCTAACTTAAATTTCACAAGGAAGTCACTTGAGATTAAAATCTCTTTCCCTTTTTCGAGGGAGATCTGGCCAAGATAGTACACCATCACAAGGTTACAAAACTTATAAAATACAGCATGTCAAAAACAGACAAGGAACAATTAAAAACAGAGCACATTAAAAACACTCAGGGACAACAGAGCCATAATACAAAATCCATGTTTTTCACAACTTCATGATGCTGTAGTGTGTTGTGAAGGTTATTCCACGACCAGGGTGCAAAATAGGTGAAAGCTGTTCTACCAAGCTCTGAGTAACTCCAGGGTATCTGGTAGAGGAGACTCCAAGTAGAGTGAAAATCATAACAGCTGTTGCTGAGTGACCGAGGGTCACTTAAATGGAAAACACACAATCATTACAAAATCTGAACGACTTTAGCCGGTATGCACAGTAATCATTATTTGTATGCTGCCTTTAATATCTGACTATCTTTATGTTTCCATCAGTTCAAATCGACCTGCCTCCCACGATGGTGATCACCAAGGGCCTCCCGGGAAAATACACAGCTGTCCAGATGCACCTGCACTGGGGGGGCTGGGACCTGGAGGCCAGCGGAGCAGAGCACACCATAGACGGCATTCGTTACATGGCCGAGGTTGACTTAAAGCTGAGTCTTTAAAAATAAATGTGCGGCTCTATAAACAAAGATAGGGTAGATAGAAAGCTGGTGTCACCACTGCAGTGATGACAGGTTTAACATCCTCCATTCATTGAGCCTACACTGATCAAACAGAGACGTTTCTGTACACAGACCTGTACAGGCTTTAAATGCACCAGTGAACATGAATTAAAACTGCATTTACACAGCATCAGTTCACTCCCACAGCGTAGAACAAAACAGATCATCAAAGTATGTAATGTCAGGATTGCATCAGTAAGGAAACCAGAAGTACCTACATCTTGTAATTTTAAAAAAATGATCCTCGATGCAGATTTATTTGACAGAGGCCTTGATTTTCATCAGCATATTTCCCTGCAAACGTATCTCTTTGCTGCCTATAAGTCAGCCTTAATTTGCTTGTTTTTTATTTAAGATTTGAACAAAATTTAAAGCTAATACATGTTCTGCCTCTTAAAAGAGCCATTTTCATTTGTAAAGCACGTCATCATTTTTATTTTGGCACCTAACCTGTTCTGCATTTCCACCTTGTCTTTCAGCTCCATGTTGTCCATTACAATTCTGACAAGTACAAGAGCTTTACTGAAGCCAGAGATAAGCCGGACGGGCTGGCAGTGCTCGCGTTTTTCTACGATGTACGTAAGCCACAAACCCTTTCGTTCCCTTTTCTCTATGTTCTGCTTTGTCTGCCCACCGTGTTGTTTGAAATCTGCACAGGATGCCAGCCCTATTTCTAAATAAATGATCATCAGTTCTGCTATAGGAAGTTTACAGAAAGGGCATCTTTGTGCTGAAAAAATGATTACCAAATGCCCTGTGAAGTGTATGATACTTTGTTTCAGTCATCCTGCTGGGTATAAGGCTCTATTGAATGTTCATGTGCACGGCGACACGTTGAATGAGTGCTTGTTTCCAGAGGAATGCTCCGGATCTCAGACAGTCAGCGGCTCTCAGCTGCGAGACGTCATCTCTGCAGCAACACCGCCGCTGGCATTCGCTGTGATAGCAGCTCAGAGTGGCAGAGAGTTAGTGCTATTGGGACAAACTAATTTAGTAACAAATGATATAGATGCACTGACATGGAAGTTTAAAGGAGAATCACAGTTAATTACATCTGAGGACATCAGTCAGATGGGGCAGGATGTAATGTATTGTGAAGGGAAAACAAAGGTTAACTGTAGAATAATTAACCAAGGTTTACATTAAAAACATCCATCACAGTTTAAAGACCGACATTCTGGCTCAACTTTGACCTTTTGTATCTGACACGGGGGGTTATTATGAACTTCTTATGTGCACTTACGTTCAGTTTTACCACCAAATAACATAGTTTAGAAACCTTAAAAAGCGAAACATTTCCCTTGTTTACAACCTGCCAGATGTTTCTTGCCCTTCAAGGATTTTGAAGTGATGTTACTGTGTTCCCAGGTCTTTGGAAAATACAAATTATCTTAACATACAATGAGCAAACAAGGCTAAAGGTTTAATATATTTAACCCTTATACCAATAATCACATCCCCCATTTCTATTCCTTTACACATGCTTACACACACACTTGTGTCGTCTGTAATGATTGAACATTTATGCTTCAGTTTTGGTTTACTTTCAGGATGGGCATTTTGAGAACACATACTACAGTGATTTCATCTCCAATCTGGCCAGAATCAAATATGCAGGTGAGTTACTGCACACAGAAACTAACTGACCACAGTGCTTGAGATTTATGTGACTTTTAAGGGGAACTTCACCCCAAATTCATGTATTTTATTCTCGTGGTCTAAGACAGTCCAAAAGTATTAGGTCCAGTCAACATGAACAACTCCCTCCCAAATCCAAAAGCTAGAAAACTCAAACGTGTGATGTCATAGGATATTAAGTCTGGAGCTGCTCCATAGACAATGAATGGTGAAAGATGTTCTAGATAACCTTCATTGTCTGTGGAGCAGCTCCAGACTTTATACTTGATGACATCACAAGTTTGAGACTTCCTTCTGTGGTTTCTGACTTTGAGAGAGTAACTCATGTTCACAAATGTTTATTGAACTTTCCAAGGCCACGGAAATAACATTGGAATTCTTCATTTAGGTGGTGTTCCTTTTAAATGAATCAAAAAGCCACAAAGTGGTCCTTTGTATATCAGTTATTCACCCTTTGTTACCTTCAATTTGTGATGAAAACTGTGCTTCTCGCATTCAATAAACCAAAAATTGTAAAACAGAGAAATTGTTGATGAACTCAAGTTATAGGGAGCTGCATTCAACAACAGCAAAACTATACCAAACACCCATTTAAACCCTCACACAACTTGTGCAGTATAATCTAAGACTCATTTTTCCAGTCGTATACTCAGTACTTCCCAAACACTTGAATTTTCACTGAGACATTACTATTTAACACTTCAACACACAAAGAGCACACACGGGCAAACACAAATGCTGCAATTTAAGCAAAAAGGCATGTGTTTAGGAAGTACTGGGTATATGACTGGATAAATGAGACTTGGACTTTACTGCACGAGATGTGTGAGAGTTTGTTAACAGATGTTTTGATATAGTTTTGCTGTTGTTAAATGTGGCCCCCTATGACTTAAATTCATCAAGAATTTTCTAAGTTTTTGGATTCTTTGTTCACTGCAGAGGCATGTGAGAAAAACAAAGTTTCCCTCATGAATTCAGTGTAACACAGGGTGAGTAACTGATATACAATGATCATTTTGTGGGTAATGTAATCCTTTAATGTGATCCCAACAGGTCAGTCCATGCACATATCGAACCTCGATGTGCGCTCCATGCTCCCCGAGAACCTCAACCATTTCTTCAGATACCAGGGCTCCCTCACCACGCCGCCCTGCTATGAGAGCATCCTCTGGACTGTGTTTGATACTCCCATCACTCTCTCTCATAACCAGGTACAGTGGACAGGGAGGCCTTTGTTCCAAAATTTAGCTGATAAAAAAAGCAATACCATCAGCTATTTTGTAATATATAGAACCAGATGGGAACTATTTAAAGAAATTTGGCTTATTTTGAATATTATGTGGTGCCATGCCATAGCTTAATCTTCTTCTCTGTTGTGTTTAGATCAGGAAACTGGAGAGTACTCTGATGGACATGGACAACAAGACCTTGTGGAATGATTACCGCATCGCCCAGCCTCTCAACGACCGTGTGGTGGAGTCATCTTTCCTGCCACGCCTGGGGAAAGGAAGTGTGTAACTTACTGCGACAGTATGATTACACAACATCATTTATTCCTCAGAAATGAAATTGGGCACAACCGTGGCCTGAGTCTAATCCATGTCACCTTTTGTCCTTTCAGCATTTTGTCGGCAAGATGAGATTGAATCCAGGCTCCTGAAGATTGAGGGTCTGATAACGTCTCTTGGAAAGCATATGTATTCAGGCGAGTCATAAAACCTGCACACAATGGCTAGGTGTGAAATGAAAGCGCCCATATTTACACTCTTTTTTACTTATTCCCTGAAAGGTGGACTCCGCAACCAAAGGCCCACCAGATATGGTGAGTGTTTTGTTTTCATTCTGATTGAATCTGAGACTGTGGATGATGAAAGGTAGATGGATGTTTCTTGCTCTCCAGTTTGATTCCAGTGTTTCTATTTTCCTCAGAACCCCGCGCTCTGTTTCCTCTGGTGCTCAACTTCCAGGAGAAAAATTCTGGAAGTTATGCTTTGGCCCGTCTCAGCCATGCCATGGAGCTGGACTCATTCACCGTCTGCATGCATGTCCTGCCTCAAGCTGATGGGGTCAACACTGCCATCTCCTATGCCAGTAACGGCATCGACAATGAGTTGCTGATCTCCATCAGCGAGGACAGAGATACAAGAGAGGTAGGCCTCTGGATTGGCAACGAGTTTGTCAACCTGCCCCACAACTTCAAGTCCCATGACTGGGCCAACTACTGCATCACCTGGTCGTCTCACACCGGTGGCGCGGAGCTATGGATCAACGGTATGGTAGGGGAGCAGCGGTACCTGAAGAGCGGTTACACAATCAGCCCTGGAGGTGTGTTCATCCTGGGCAAAGACCAGGATGGAATACTGGGCATCTCCAACGCAGACGACTTTGTGGGGAAGATGACTGATGTCAACGTGTGGGACTATGTGCTGACAACAGCAGATATCCGGGACCAGATGTCATGTGAGAGAAACAGCACCACGGTGGGAAATGTGTTCAGCTGGGGAACCACCAAACTGAGTCTGTACGGAGGGGTGGAGCTGGACAGCCAGTACAGATGCTCCTGAAGAGGCTCAGCTGCTTCTGTTTCGCATTAAAACGCTGCAATAAACCTTAATATCACTGCTGATGGTGGGGATTTAAAATGTGTGACATATGTGATGATGGGTAAAATGTCTTTCAGGCACCTGTAAGTCAATCTTAAATACAAACTGTATCGTATAGCTTCAGCCATGTATTGCATTCATACCTTTGCATCATCAATAAAGGCTTACAAGTGACTTGTTGGTTTGTTTGGTTTCTTAAGCACCCATTCATGCCTTTAAAAGGCTGCATGCCATGCACACATCAAGGCTCACTACACCCCTTGCTCCTACCACTTGATGAGAGATAGGGTGAAGTAGAGCCTACATGGCCCTCAAAATGGAGTTTTTTTACACTTAAAAGTGTTATGAGAAACTATCAGCAAGATGGCTGCACTAGCAACAAAAAACACAGCAACACAAATGTATTTTCTTTGTTTATGTAGATTTAGTTTAGACTTAGTTTAATGTCATTTTAATGTATCATAGCCTCTTATTTAGGACTATAAAAAGCATGACAAAAGAAATAGCTAGTATGCTAATGTCTTGGTGGCCACCCTGCTAGCTAGCTAACGTTACATTGCTATTGTTGATTTTTGCGTGACAGGCTTTCATTTTGACATGTTTCCACATCTCATTGCCCCCATTGATGGCATGTGACACCTGAAATTTAACTAAAGTCCAGCAGCATTGTTACTGCGCTTGTTACCGCTTCTCTAGTGCAGACCGGCAGGGTAGAAGTACGAGCTGCTAACATTAGCCTACAGAGCACCACTAAAGGCCTGATAATGAAGCAGTTATTTTTAATCTGATGACTTGTTTGACTGATTGATAGCATAAACTGAAGTTGTGAACAAATGGAGGGATGCAGGAATTATTCCTAAAACCGTAAATGAGTTAACACTTTAGCTCCTCCAGTTCCCTCATCTTAAAGTCATTGGGTTTTTGAATAGGTTTTGAGATGCCCGAAATAAATAAAGTCTGTGGTTAACACAAGCTTAAGAGGCTTTCATGTTTTGTTCAATGACATAAAATATACCAGTACTGTAAATACCCAACTTGTGAATCTTAAAGCTTTAAAGTCTCTTTTAAAAAGGCAGTGACTAACAAGTGGTTAAATAAGACTACAGAGCATCACCACGCCAAACACGACATTACAGCCTCATTGTGATGGCGACGTTCATGTCTTGCTACCAAAGTGTAGCTTGTTTATAGCCTAACATTAGCTTTTTACTCATGGAGATTGCATTTAAACTTCAAAAATAATTAAAGTTGTGGTTATTTGTAAAGATGATCTTGCTGAACAAAACACGTAGGCCTAAGAATCGAAAACTCTCTTTTTTTGCCACAGGGTTTATTTTCTGCAGTACTCCAAAATCCAATGGAAATATCCCATTGGATTTTCGTCAAGGGAGCTATGGCGAAGCTAACTTCTGGGCTGGCCTACAAATAAATGTAGTTCTTGCACCACTCTATCGTGAGTGCCCTGATAACCACAAACACGCAAGAGAAATCACCACAGCAGAAGATGGTGTATCTGCAATGTCCAGAAACACTTGTCACATCTGTTTACGTGAAAACCAGCACTGACAACAACGGACGTATCAGGGGAAAACTGTATTATCCTACTGTGTACCTTGGACAATCTAAAATTAGAAACACTTAAATCCATCAATGAATTTAAGGGCATCATAAAGAATGTGGTGATAGAGATATGTGCTTGTTTTTCTTGAGAATATTTGAATAATTGTCATTTGTGGATTTTTGTATTATATATCGTATTTGTTGCATTTTAAAAGTGTTTTAATTGGCTGCTATCTTGGCCAGGCCTCTCTTGTGAAAGAGATTTTCAATCTCAATGGGAATTCCTGGTTAAATAAAGGTTAAATAAATACAAAATTAAAATCAGGGTCTTCAAGGGTGGTCACATTTCACAGGGAAAGATTTCAACCACTGCCCTTTATAACTCTGTTCCGAGGGGCAAGGTGGCACTCAAAAATGAGGGGTAATAATAATACTAAATTGGATTTGGCCCAAGTCTCTTTGTATTTTTAGCTGGCTTTGTGGCCACAAACAAACAATATCAAAAGAGTCTGTGTAAAGATTCTTTGTAGAAAATGGAGACTAAATTAAGACATTTCAGTGCAGTACAATCCTCCCTAGAGTGAAGACTTCCTCTCCTCTGAATGGTCTCATTTGTCTTCAGAAGGCCGTGACCCTCACTTCATCCTCCAGGCTTTCTTTGTGCTCTTTCAGTGGCAGATCCCCATCACCCAGTTTGATCTCCACTTTGTTTCTCTTGGCAAACATCTGGCAGATCTCCAGGAAGGTCTTACTCTTGGTCTCTGGGACCACCAGCCAGATGTAGATGAGCGTGACCAGACAGATGAAGGAAAAGATGATAAAACTGAAGGGGCCCAGACCGCTCTGGAGAAGGGAAAGGAGGGAGAGGAAATGTGATCAGTGTGTCCTCAAGATAAAATGTTAAAATGTTGAAACAACAGCCAAGATGGCTAATTTTATTGGAATGCTCTCTTTTGGTTTCTGTTACTCAAAGTCAAATCCTGCATTGTTTGTTTGTGGTTTGAAGATCTTGTCTTGAGAGGAAGTAAACACAATACTGCAAAACAGTTGTGTTTATCTCTACGATTACGCCACTTGGTCCAGCCGGAAAAACACCCTGACCAAAGTGGTCCTAATAAACTGGGACTAGCTGACACTTGTGTAAATCACATATTGAACTGTGATTGGCTTCTGGGGTTGTAACGATACGTTGACCTGGATGGATTGGTAATCAACGATCCAATATTGTTGATGCTGAGAGAAAACCTTGATACATGTAGTCATCTCTAAAACATGCCCAGCGCCAGGCAGATAATGGTAAGCAGTCAAGAAAAATAAAAAGAGAATATTAACTGATATTGTCTCGTATCGATCACAAGCCCCTGAATTAAATTATACTGAAATCATATCATGCTAGACTTTGCAGTACCAACAAATATTGTATTGTTGTCCAAACAATCAAAATAATTTTAAATTGTGATTAAACTTGAGGTGAGCACAGAGAAACTTTGCGGCCCTCAGCAGATAAATGTGAAAACAGCCTTTTAGCGTCAAACCCTGCACAGACATTAATCTGCTCAGTGAAGCTCAAACATCCATGTGAAGTTACAAAAAGCAAAAACACATCTTCTTCAGCAGAGTAGGAAGTAAATTTCAGTCTCTGCATTGTGTTTACGAAGATAATATCATTACATGGAATCTAAAAATAAAATTGCTCGGGAGATACATTTTAATTAAGAATGATTAGTTTTCGTTTATGAGAATCGTTTCAGTGTGAGTATGAGACCTGGATTGATTCCTCTCCTCCCATGCAAACTTCCTTTGTTGATTAAAATGGCTTCCTTTGCATTGGCCATTCAGTATTTTCTACGTCCAATTTTTCAAAGGGTTCCCGAACAAATAGTTAGGACAATATGACAATACCACACATATAGCCTATCTGTCATACGAAGCTACAGTCAGCACACAGTTAGCTCAGCTTAGCGTAAAGACAGGGATAACAGGTAGCCTGGCTCTGTACAAAGGTAACATCAGTATCACTACTTAACATGTAGTATCTTGTTTGTTTGGTGTGTACTACAAACAGATGGAGACAATTTGTGGTTATGTGGTAGAACAGAGTGAACTGATAATATAATTAGCAATATAGCGAAAGATTTAGAATTCTCCATCTACATATCGAGATCATAATATGACTTCCTCCACCGCTGCCTTGTTTGTTGTATGAAACATCTGACTACACCCTCCACTGCCATCTAATGTGTGTATCTATGCCATCATAAAGGACCCATAAAAGTATGAAGGCCGTGACATTTACAGCATTTGATATGGACATATCTATTTTCATACAAACAAAAACCCACCCAGGGGGGCTCTATAAATAGTAATTGACCACATTACCCGTAGACCTCTCTTACAGTAATCATGGGTTTAGTTTAACAGGTTAGCCTGAAGGCAAAGGAACCACGTTCAGTAGCCTTGGGCTTCATGAGGCTCCTACAGAGCTGGACTGATGTGGTCCAGTGCTATCCACAACAATCATGGTTCACAATCACATGTAGGGGTGGTGATTTCGTATAATCACTATTACTGTCTTTATTATTTCAATGGTGCAGTGGATCGCAACTCTACAAGGATGCTCAATGGCAGAGTGGACAGTATCTCTGCCTTTCATGTGAAACACTGGGGTTTGATTCCCTGATGGGGAGAGTTAGGTTTTGCACCAGTTGCTGGTTATTAACCAAGAACGACAAAAGTTATACAACAGCAGCAGCAGCAATGGTTACTGCACCACAGAATGGAAAATTCATGGCATAATACCATTTGAAACGTGGGTAAACAGGATCTTTTGACATTAATGATTACAACATTCCTTGAAGAAATCTTTCCTCCAATAAGGGTTCTTTGGAGGAAAAAGGTTCTTAATAAAATCTTTAGGCCCCGATCACACAGAAAGCATTTTGCAGGTTGCAAAATGCAAGGCGCACTGCACTGCCTTTTTAAAAACTTGAATGCTAGTAGTAAAATATGCAGTGGACAACCACCCCTAACTCTACTATAACCCTCCTGTGTAATCAATCTACCATTTATTTTTTTTCACAGTAATTAGTGGCTAGTTACTAAAATGTTGAGGCAGAGGGTACTTGCTGAAGCTCTGGTTGAGGGTGAGAGGCTGTCAGCAAATAATTTATTGGACACAGGGAAACAGAGATCTGTGTGGGTACAAGAGACGCTAATAAAAAGGGTGGATCACAGGGAGTACCACCAGTTGGTCCAGGAGCTTTTCCTCGATATGGTCGTTTCCAGAAATATTTTAGGATGACTTGGGGGCAGTTTGACAACCTGCTGTCTATCGTCAGGCCTTATAGCTCTGGGTATCCAGCAACCGCTACCACTACTTTCTCCTCCAATGGACAATGGGAAAAAAGGTAATGAAAAAAGAGATGACATGAGGTGCATTTCCAATCTGAGTGGAAGTGTTTTCAACTTGAGGAGTTCAGAGCACTAACACCAGGTGCCTAGAGCGCAGAAACACGAGGCCTTGTCACAACGCAATAACAGCAAGCAAAAAGCTTCAGGAAGAACCCTTATCTTTAAGTGTGTAGTCTCCACTGGTTGTGACGAAGTGGAAAAAAGCTAATAAGTGTATTTCTCAAAATGTAGTACTGCTTTAAGATATATTGTTTTTCTCATTTGATTTTTCCCTTTGAACTGGTTGTTGCCTGTTGTCTGTGTCCCTAACATAACAATGATATTGCTTCAAATTGTGGGTTTGATGCTTGACAAACGTTTAAGGCCTGACGAATGATTGGAAAGATTGCATTAATCAACTTAGTGTTGACAGTTTTCAGGAATACACGTTTATTTTTCTTGAGTTATATTAAAAGTTTGTCTGCATATCTTAAGACATGCACAGAACATACTGAAGTACAGTAATTCAAAATCAGGTATAAATCATCATATCACAGTCAGGATGTGACTGGGGTTGCCTTTCTGTTGACACTTAAGAAACATCTGTAAGTAATTACATTTTAAAATAATAATCCTTCATCCCCCAATGTAAGAGTTCTTAGAAGTTGTGTAACTGACCTCTAGGAAGGGGAAGATGAGGCCAACAGTGAAGTTGGAGAGCCAGTGGACGGAGCCTGCGACCATGAAGGCAGCCGGCCTGGCCGACTGCCTGAACATCTCGGTGGTCACCACATAAGGAATGGGACCTGGAGAGCACAGATGTGGTTAACCACAATCAAAACACTCGAGACTCATCATCAGTCTTCAGGGTCAGGGTGAGGATGTCTCAGACAACTTGAGTGCAGTTTTACAACATATATCATTACATGTCTGGTCACATCCAAACAACACTTCAGCTAATGGAGCACCCTGTTGTAATCAGTGTGTCGGTAAGGTCATACTCACTGGGTCCTATGGCGTGTCCTATGACGTAGATGATGACACAGGTGATGCTGACGTAGGGCATCCACGTCACGCTCTCCTGTAAACACAAAGACACAGCTGCTGTTTTCACAAACTAGCTGTGTTGACGTTTGTAAACAGGAAAAATACGTCGCAGAATCTCTGTAGTAGCTGCACTGTGTGGGAAGAGTTAAACCCACTGTGATGCTGAAAGTGATGCCTGTCTGAAGATGTTGGGTCCAGGTGAGATTACAGGGTTGCAGGGGGGCACCACTGGTTTTGTGGTTGTCTAATGGCCAGTGCTTTCTCATACTTTAGTGGTGGGCGACTCTGTTTTTAAGTCTTGAGGTTCTCATGACCCCAGCAAATATAGACGTCAAGTCATTGCATTTATTTTCCAGACTGAGCTCCAAATATATAATAAATTAAAATTACAGTCCAGTAAAAAAAAATGTGGCACTTTGTAGTCCAGCACATTGGAGCACGAAGTTAAAGTGGTGACTTTTAGCTTTAAAGCAACGTTTCTAACAACAACTAATTCATTAAAGTTCCCCTCTGGACACATTTTAAAGTAAATAAAAATACTCTGCTATGATGAACATTTTGTTTAATATGGTTCTCCCACACACAAGGAAAACCAAAAAAAAAGTCTAAAAAGAGGCTGGAAGCAGATCCACTCCCACCACTGCTTGGTCGGTTTTGCTTTTGGTTTCTGCTTTCTATCAGCACTGGCCCAGTGCTAAAAAAAAGTGTGTAGACAGGAGACAGATCTGGCTATGAGAGACTAGTGTTAGGTTGACCGATAACAGAGCAGTGCACATCAAGATGGCTGACATTAGAGGAAACATTGGAGAGATTTAGCCACATGTTAGGAGTTAGGGTAAGGGTGTCAGACTCAGATGAGTTGTCTGGCGTCTGATGTATCAGAATGGTAAGTGTAGTTAGCATCTTTTATTTTATTTTATTTAAATTTCATATAAACATAAGCTTTGTATTTTATAATGTAAATTGATGAAATTGTATGTTTTATATGTAATGTAATGTAATATATTGTATGTAAGGTGTGGACCCCAGGAAGACTAGCTGATTGCCAAGGCGTTCAGCTAATGGGGATCCTTAAAATAAACAATAAACAATTTGTCTATGTTGTTTGTTAGCTTGTTAGCTTGTCACTGACAGTGGCTAACACAAGATTATTGGTTGTCAAACACGCAAAAATATCTGCTATGATGGGGAATTGGTGATACGGAAGGAAGCTTTAGGGTCCAGTTTACATCATGGACTAAATATATTGGATGCAGCTACCATGACGTCACCCATTGGTTTGTGTACTCCCGTTCTGAAGCCTTGAGTTTGGCAGTTAGGCCGCCACCATCTTGTATTTAAAAAGCAGTGAGGGGTGGATCAGACTGAGAAGCAGAGGACTCTATTGGCATACAGCCTGTCACTCAAAGCAGCCCACCACCCATACAGTTGTCCTAAAGGGGGCAATTGGCTCTCAAGACCAAAACTGTTTTTGTACCAGGCTATAAACATGTTAATTTCTGCTGTAAAGTTGGGCTTTTTAATATGAGGGTCTATTTGGATTAACTCTGTTTTGGAGCCAGCCTCAAGTGGCCCTTCAAAGCAACCTGGTCTCACTCCGAAGTCGTTTGCACTTGGGCAGTGACTTGGTTTACATCCATAAACTGCACACTCTACCATGATTACAGTCAAAACTTTCACTATGATAATGCAAACTCTGCTCTCTGCAATGACAAGTCCCCTCTGTGCTGGAGGTTTCAGATTTTTTTGCCAGTGTTGTGTCAAAGTTTGCCCCCTAATTAATATGCGTTTTCCATATTAGACAGTGATTGGCTTTCATATTAGTAACGTACCTAATCTAGCTTGCATGGTCTAAGTTTGAGTCTCAGATTTTAGGGAAGTGCACAGACATTGCCTCAGATAGGAGTCAGTATAGTCAAGGTCAGACATTGTGGATGTGGATGTAAACTGTAAACAACCATGAATTAAAAGTGTATGTCAGCACTTTAATCTTGTTGTTTAAACACAGTGTATTCGAGTACACATCCACAACAACAAAGATTGTGTCACCTTTCTTAAAAGCCTCCTGTGACTCAGTCCCCACAACAAATCTCCTGACCTCAAGGTTGAGAAACTCTGACATACAACAGCAGATTATTTTTGTATGCTGAACCACTAGAGGACAGCAGAGTCACACATTTAGGTTGTGAGACATGCTGAGGGTTTCACATGGTACCTGGAGATTGAGGGCAACAGTGAGCAGCACACAGGCTCCACAGCAGATCCCAAAACCACAAAGGAGGAGCAGCCGTCGCCCTGAAGCCTCTACGATGAAGACCTGGTGAGACAAAGTATCTGTTCAGAACTATTGTCTCCTGCTGATACGATCAAACAACAGACCTTGGATATCAACAGGATACTTACAGCAGCTATGGTCATGAAGACATTCACTGCACCTGTTCCCACAGTGACATACTGGATGTCATTCTGCTTGACTCCAGCAGTGGCATATATGCTATCTGCGTAGTAGTAGATCTGAGGAGGGAGAGAGAAATGCATTATCCAAGAGGACAGCATTAACACATAAGAAACAGTGCTGTAGTTGAAAATGCCTGAGCAGAAGAAACTGTTATGCTGTCTGATCTGGTGTTATATCTGAAACAGAGTGAGTGTGGGCATCAGTGGGTCAGAGTCAAGGACACCAGGCCCGGCTCACCGCGTTGACCCCCGACAGCTGCTGGCCCATGTTCATGACGATTATGGAGACCAGCTGCCAGCGAAGGGAGCGCTGGGACAGCAGGCTGAGCACAGACAGACGGCCCTCGGCCCTCTCTGACTGGTCCTCAAGATGCATCTCTGACAGCTCTGCATCCACGTCGTCCCAGCCACGCAGACGCTGTAGTGCTTTCCGTGCCGTCTTCTCATCTCCTCTCTGGATGAGCATGTACCTGGGGCTCTCTGGGAAGAAGGGCAGCAGCAGGAGCTCTATCAGGGCGGGGATACCAGTCAAACCCAGCATGAGAGGCCAACCTGGATACAGAGGGAAAAGAGACACCTCTTTACCAGTCGATTAACCTGAAAAAAATCTCTCCTCAAAATATGCAGTGACGGATTAAACATCCAACCAATGAAGGATGACTAAAATTTACCTGTGCTGTTGCCCAGTATGTTTCTGATGCCCAGCACCTGTGCACTGAGGATGCCAATGGTGATGAAGAGCTGCGGTATGATGCCAAGGGCTCCTCTCAGGTTTTTGGGAGAGAGTTCTCCCAGATACATGGGCACCACGTTGGATGAGAGACCTGCAGACAGCAAACTTAAAGGAATACTTCACCCACAAAATAACCATATCACTTACTCACCCCATTTGTTTTCTCACATGCTTCCACAGTGAGCAAAGAATCCAGTACTTCCCAAACACATGCACTTTTTCACTTCACTAAAACCTCACTATTTAAAACACTTCTGCAAAAACAGTCTGAGTTCAAGCGAATGAGTTTGACATCCGGTCAGTGGATTGTACGAGCTGAGTTCAAACATATGCACCCACCCAAGTGCAATACTCGTGTGCGGAAGTGTTGTTGAAGTGTATGTTTTTTAATATAGTTTTACTGCTGTCAATCGTTAACCCCTACGGCTCTAATTCATCAAGAATTATCTCAGTTTTTGGATTCTTTGTAGCCAGACTCATAGCATGAATTAGTCTGGAACCTCTCAGTTCAGTTTCTTTTTCTTTTTTTGTAAATATTTTTATTGAAGAGTCTAGCGAATGGTCTAACAGAGCAGTTTTTAAAAAAAACATAATAATAATAATAATGATAATAATAATAGTCGTGAATAAACAAAGTACTGTACATCTCAACGGATAAGAATCAGACAAACAACAGACAGACAAATGACCAAAAATAACAAAACATGCGTTGTACGTTCAAAAGAAAGAAAAAGAGGAGGTGGCGGGGTCTGCCAGTCGGGAGACAGGGATTGTAGAGAGTTAAAAAATGCCACTTATTGTAAAACTGATCTGATTTGCCTCTAATTCAGTGTTTAACCTTCTCTAGCTTTAGAGAGGACATGGTATCACTGAGCCAGTGTTGGAGTGTTGCTCCCTCCAACACTCCAACACTGGACTTCCAGTGGAGAAGATGGCCTCTTGCCAGTAAAGAAGTAATTGTTGGGAGGTGTATCAGTTATGGTCCTCACCCAAAAATCGCAATATGGGGAGAGACATTTATAGTTAATGCCAAAAACAGGATAATAATGGACAAGAAAAAAAACATGGGATAAATTACAGGTTGAAGCACTGCATTTGTCGCAATTGTCAGTGATATTAGGGTAGCTTCTTGGTTCAGTTTCAATTTTCAGTGGTGTTAATCAGAGGCTGCAGACCAAAATGCCTCTAGACACAACTGGGTAGACCAATCAGAGCAATGAAATGTGACATAGCACCAAGTGACACATGCAAATTAGGGCGCTGCTTGGTCTGTTTTCCAGCAGGAAATAAATGTTAGCGTGGTCACAATTCTCAAACTGCAGCTTAACAGTCCACTAAAATGTGTCTCTGAAAATATTTGAGGTGAGACTTTGCCTAGTTTGACAGTTTGATCTGAGTTTCGTGAGCCTGGTGCTCAACAGAGCAGACTGGGTGCAATTACAACCAGCCAGAGCAGTGAAATGTGGGACATGTGATGTTTCAGATCTGGACTGGTGATGCTCCTCTGCCAATCATCAAATAAAACCCACCCCATATCAGATAAACAGTTGTGACAGGCATTGCCCTGACCAGGCTGGCTGGAAGTCTGTCTTAACGGGAGTGGGGACCAGATGCATCTGAACAAATAAAACACAAGCTAACGGATTCGTCTTGTCCCCAGGCTAGAGTCTTTGGTCACTGTTGAGGCATGCAAGAGAAACAGTTTTCCTCACCAGTTCAGACAGGGTGAGTAACTGACATACAAACGATCATTTTGTGGGTGAAGTATTCCTTTAAGATTAAGACTGAATGGTTGAATATATCTGACCTGCACAGATGCCCACTATAAACCTCGCCACAATGATGATCTCATAGGACTTGGCAATCTCGCTGACTCCCATCATCACAGCAGGGACGATGGAGAAGATGTTGTTGAAGAGGAGGGTGCCCTTCCTGTCAGGGAGTTGATGCTTTTAAAGTCATGTTAGACAAACAAGTATTTTTTAAAGTGCATGATGATAAATGTGACATATTACCTCCCCAGTTTGTTGACCAGAGGGGCCACCATCAGAGAGCCGAAGAAGCCTCCTAGCGGGTACATGGACACAGAGAGAGACCACAGCAGAGTTAGGAAGTTCTCCTCCATCGGTCGGCCGTAACGCTCCATGTAGGTGGTGTTATAGAAGTGCTGCATGAACTGAAGAGAGCAGAACAGCACTGATAGACACACATCATCATATACACTGGCCTCTGTATCACTGTGTGTTATGGGAAAGCTTTTGTGTCTTTGCTTGTGTTACCGGTGATGGAGAGTTGACCACAGCCACATTGTAACCATACTGGAATGATGAGCCAAATGCAGATATGAGTGTCGCCAACACCAGCACCACAGTTAATCTCTGTCAGGGGACATCAGCACACTATGTGAAGCCTCTTTGTGCAACACAAACACCATCCATCATGATTACACCTCATTTGCACTGTCAAGAAGCAGACAAAACAAACATCGATGTGATGATGGTGATAATCACACCTGGCGTGTCACTCACCCCTCTCCTCTCCACAAGCTTTCCCTGTTCCTCATTCTCCGCCATGGCTTTGTTTGGACTCTCTTTCAGCAATAATAGCAGCACACTTTGTTATTAGCACTGCACCACTGGATCCTGCCTGCCCTTTGGACATGAGATCAAAGAGCATAGCAGTGGTTTACAGCTCGACTTTAGTTATCGTTTTCATGTTGCTGACTGTGCCTTCAGGTCCAGGAAGTTTTGTACGCAACACACTCAAGATATTAAAATGCCTCCGCGGGCTGAATGTTGATATCCAATGCTTTTATTGCACCTTTAACTGAATTGGTTCAATTGATGAAATCTAACGCTGTCGTTATGGAGTTATGGTGCCATCAAAACGATAAAGCCACGTATTGTTTACCCACCTGCAGACTGGATTACAGAAGAGGTGTTTTTACAGCATGACGACACAGTGCTGGAATCACAAACAGTTGGCAAAGACTTCACTGTTGATCCTTTTACAGTTTGAAGGATTTATCTGGAGACACTTCATCTCACACTGATTACAGAATAGATTCATTTTCTGCAGAAACACCACAGCTGTGAATCTGTTTTTATGTTTATATTGTCTCCGATTTGTCACGTGCTGATCGCCTCTTATCTCTAAAGTAGAGTCTGTTGGTCATTATAATGACCCGAGGCTGTTCTTAAAGCTGGATGTTATTTGCTTTAGGCAGGAGTCACTGCAAAAAGGCTAAGATAGTGTGTGTGTGAGAGAGCAGACAATGCTTGTGGGAAATAGGAATAATTAGGTCAGAACAATGTATGTCACAAAAGGATGTGGTGTTAAGTAACGCAGGATGAGCTGTGAGAATGAACTCAGAAAAAAGGCAACACGTCTTTGGAAGGCCACATTTTGATTTTGATTTTTTTTAAGAACCACTTTTATACTACAATATTGGACAAATCAAAAAAGTTGGAAAAGTTAACGATCGCCAAATCCAACCCATGGTAGACAGTAAAAGAGTTCCCCACTGACGTATTGCTCATCCGCAGTGTGTGAACTATACCACAGCTTTTGGAGGGCACTTGCACATGCCTCATAGACCAGGAATTACTGTGACTCTTGTTGCAAAGAAACATTCATAGCTGCAAGCATGTAGGCCTATTTGCTTTATGTCCGTGTGTGTGTTTGGTTTTGATCTTTGAGTTAAAGAGGGTGAAGTTGATGATATTGTGCCGCCATGCTTCGATTGTGATGGCAAGAACAGCATGCCATTTTAATATCTGTAATAAAATGAATTAGAGATGAATCATCCTCATGCATGAACCGTACTACAACAGAAATAACCCTAATTTTCCGCATGATCCATGATGATGAAGATACAGAAAAACAGAAATGCATGCAGAAAAGCATTTTGTCAATAATTTTAACACAGTTCCCCCCAAACAAACAAACAAACAATAGAATCAACAAATCATGTTTTCAGGGGAGCTCACATCTTATAAAGAGGAGCCAAGCTCTCCTCACACCTGCAGTTCATACCCTGCTCTTCTGTAACATTGCTGCTCTCACAATGGACCAGAGATATCATATTTTTTAATTCTTCCTTGTCAGTCGGCCGCCTATAGTTTCCCACAATGCATCTGGACTTGACACACAGTTCAGTGAGAGATTGGGGTGTGTTATACTCGTAGCAGCTAATGTAGCTTTGTGCCATTAGCCCAAGAGGACCGGTCGTGCTTTTGTGAATTTTAGAGAAAATTTACAATTAACTCATGAAATTCAGTTGATTCTAACATTTTTATTGTCTTTGTGTATGTGACATGGGACCTTTAAAGGTTTACTATGCAGAATTTGTTGGTTCAGTACACAGCATTACCAGTTTAAGTGAGAGCAACTCCAGACTGACTCCCATTTTGGAACAAGCTTGTCCGCCTGGGGTTTCCTCTCACTATAACTGCATTTTTTTCTGTTTCTGCTATGTTTGTAGCTTCCTTTGTATTGAGATGTGTATTGCTCATGGTCTGACACCTGGTGGCTACCTTTTTATAAAGTCCTGACCTGAGCAGGGTGCTGTGTCCAGGAATGTCCTGAACACAGCAAAATAAAAAGAAAATAAGACAATGCAGGCAGAGGGCAGAGAAGAACACAACAGCACACTCTTCTAGTGGGTCATAAGTGATGATTGAGAGTATGAGTCTATACATTGTTTTGTTGTGTTTTGTTTTTGAAAATCCTGCACAGTAGCCTAAACCTTTGAGTGGAATATGTGCAGTGAGTGTTTGCAATATTAGCAGTCAACAGATGGTGGCACCATCTTCACATTCAAAGAAAAAGAAGAAGAAGAAGAAAAAGAAGAAGAAGAAGAAGAGGAGGAAGACGACAGACAGACACAGTGGCGTAAATATAGACAGTGCAGGCAGTGCAGCTGCACTGGGGACTGTGGAGTGGGGGGACCTTGCAAATGCTTGCCACCTCAAAACTACACCTATGTTCAAACATAACTCACATTAAAAATGATGGTGCCATTTACTGTAGGCTATATGCTCTCAAAAATGCAAACCCATCTCTGTCACGGTTTTCTTTTCTTTTCTTTTCTTTTCTTTTGTAAAATGGTCAGTCGCAATCTATAACAAAATTATGCTTATTCTTCACGAGCTAGAAAAAACATGAATAAACTATATCTATATAAACTAAATTAATTAATAAACTATTTCTTATTTGATATTTTTGTCACATACAGGTATGCAATGATGATTGTTGGGTAAGATGTATGTTCAAGTTTCCTCATGTCAAGTCTATTTGATCATGTGACAAGATGATATGATATTGTAGCTAGTTGAGGCGCAAAATCTGTCCAGACTGACAAGTCCAGTCCAGTGAGCAGTCGTGTCTTTCAAACATAAAAAGCGTTAGAAAGAAAGGACAAGAGACAAAATGAAGAGGAGGAAAAAGTAGCAAAGCTCCCTAAATTAGATTCATTTGGCTTTTTGTTTTTTAATAAACAGTTGGCAGTGGTGAGTGTGTGCACCTTATAACTAGTAACTAGCATGCACTGGGGCCTGTTGTAACTACATTATGCCACTGGACAGACATGTCACAGTGCAAAGTGCAGTTCCACTGTGTCCCTTTATTTTTTACTGCCTAAATATTCACATGCTGTGACTCGTTACCAGTAACCTCTCGCTTAATGTATCCAGTGTTTCTGATGTTTTCTATTGCATGTTAAAAATGTCCTGTCACTTCTAATTTAAACATGCTGTTGCAGCTCTGAACTATTGCCCGTTAGCTTTTGTTGGACAGTGTGTGTTTGAGAACTGGCTCTAAGAACCACTGACGCAGCCAAATGAACAGCCTGCGCTGTGAAAAAATGACTTCCATTATCTTGACTGGTGAATGGTCACCCCGTGCAGTGTAGTACGGCCCTCTGGTACTCTTTAACTTAATGAATTAAGTGGGCAAAGAGCCAGCGGAGGACGGAGCAACACCCCCTTCCTTAAGTGTTTCCACAGGCTCCAGTTACTTCAATGTCAGCCAAATCTCAGAACACACACAATGGATTAATTCCTGCAGGAAATACAGTAAGTGTAGGTCGTCTGCGTGGCCTCTGTCATCCTCAAGGACAAAAAAATGTTCACCGGCAGTTTTGGATGTCATCAGCCTAAACAGGATTCGCTGCTTCTGTTTTCTCAGCCGTGGTATCCAGTGCTCTGTCACTACTGGCCCTCTGAGAGTGACCTCTTCACTGTGTCACATTACTTTAGACTACAGATAAAATTAGATGGAAGGAAAACTTTTATCTCATAAAACACTGTATTTATGTTTTTAATATTTTTAGTATAAACAGCATAAGGTCTCCATGTTCTGGAAAGATGCATGAGAACTAGCCGCCCTCATAAGAGCACACTGTTGTTGCTGTGTAACGAAAAGTCTGGCTGACCTGATATAAAGGCTTATTACAACAATATTACCCACTTCTGCAATGCCTAGTTCATCAAACAAACCAAGAGAGACCACACAACATTCATAAATCCACTTGCTGTGATGCCACCATCACAACCCAAATAAGTGTTTGCCCTCTATGAGAGCCAAACAAACAACAATCACTTGAGGATAAGAGAAAATTGGCTGTCAACAAGGTGGAATTTCCCCCTCCGCGCCTCTCCCAACGATCACCACAGTAATGAATCTAATTTTAATGTAGCTCATCATCTCCGAGGCAGGCTCATTAAAACTCAACGGATCTTAGACAAGCTGAATCAAAGATGGAAAGTGGCGCTGTGGTTGTGAGCCAGGTTGGTCCCATGAGCCTCCGTGGGGTTCAGTGGGTTCACACTTCTCGTTGGTATGCGCCCGGCCTGTGGTTCAGACAGGGAAATGGGAGCCAAAAACAGCAGGGGTCAAAGGAGAAGTGAAGCTCAAAGGGAAGGCTCCGGTTTCAAGGAGGAAGGACAGCATGTGATGACACGTCACGCAGCATGACCACAGTGACAGCGATGATTTCAAGTTGATTTTGGTGAAAAGTCAAACACTGATGGGGTTTTGCAACAACTGTCAGAAAAATGTTGCAACTATGAGGTTAGGCAAGGAGTGAAGACAAAGATGTCAAGGGATCCATACGAGAATATTTTATATTTTAATGTAACTTTTAATGTGCACGTGATCAGATATAAATCACGTTTTTTGTACGCAAACCTTCTGAACACACCAAAAGTTATATTGGACACAAGTTGGATATTAAAGTTACATTGCTGAACATATCAAAGGGACATTCTACCCAAAATGTAAACAATCATAAACAAAACACTTTTAAAAATGCTTGAAAGATGGCTGTAAAAAAGTTAACTATTAAAGAAACAGCAGCTGTGGCCGCATTGAGTTCATGCCAGTTTCAACAACTTGTAATGGAGACAGGTTTCACTTTGCAAAATGTGTCAGAACATTCATTCAAATCAAACTTGCAGCATTGTTTTCTTCTGTATTATTCAACCACTACTCTGTACGTTACACAAACTCTTTGATTAACCAAACTATGACTAAATGTGCTGCTTCCATGTTGTGTTATCTACTTCCTCGAAGCTCCGTAGCTCTGTAATAAGCCGAGTATTTAGCAATAGCTTAGCAAACCAATGACTGAGCAGAGAGAATCAGTACGGAGTGAATCATCTCTAACTGACATGAACTCAAACTAACAACAAACTAGAGCTGCAATGATTTATCAATTAGTTGTCCACTATTAAATTAATCGCCAGTTAATTTGACAATCAAGTAACTGGTTTGAGTTTTTTTTTATATATATATAAAAAAGTAGAAAATCTCTGATTTCAGCTTATTAAACGTAATTATTTTCTGGTTTCCTTCCTTTTCTATGACCATACATTGAACATCATTAGATTGTGGACAAAACAAGACATTCATCTCAGGCTTTATAGGAAACACTGATCAACCTTTAAAAAAAAAATCTGATCTTTTTTGGACAAAATAACTAATAAACTAATCAAGAAAATATTTGACAGATTAATTGAAAATAAAAAATAATTGTTGGTTGACACCCAAACACATGTTGCACCCATCTTTCAAGCCAACAGCCTTCATTGAAAAATAAGATTTTGGGAGGGTTAGCACTTAAAGCTTTCTGTGAAAGTTCACTATCAGCTTATCACATTAAGTGAGAGCTGCACAGGCACTAAAATGTGGGTAATTGTTTCCCATAAATACGACTTAAATACTCAGTGGAACTAGATAAAAACTGAATATTCATTCATTTCACAGTGATAACTTCAGAATGTGAGTGAATCCACACAGTACATGAGAAATAAAGCTGAGAACTGTCGTTAACGGAGTGCACAGCTGCTCAAATGCAACCAGAAAACGTGTACGAAGAACAACTTCTCGTGAAAAGGCACTTTGACAGTACATCTATGAAACTACAATATTCATGTGCATATCCGGTATGCAACACTCAAAATGTTTCACCGAATGCTGGGAACAAAGTCAGGTTGCATCATCACCCACAGAGCAGAAATGTGACTTTTCCTGTGACACAAATGTGCGTGTACATCCACAGAATATCATCTATCAGCCCCGACTCGACTGGTGCTGTCTGCCTCTCTCTGCGTGGAGGTGTCCTGTCCCGGCAGCTGCCTGTTGGGGGCGTCGTGTGAGTGCTGCTCGTCTGCATGACGCTTGGAGCAGCAGCATAGCGTGGCACAGAGGCGTGTGCGGATTGGCCGTGTGAGCAACACAAACATGATGCAGTTGGCTGCTCCCTGTGAGGTGTTGCCAATTCCCTGTTGGGTCCAAACAAAGGCCTTTAAGGGGAGTGTGGCAGTAACTGGTTATTACAGTAGAAAAAATGTCTCTTAATGGATTGAAAATGTAACAGGACTTCTTCAAATTATTGTCTGACAAAGAGATAACATCAAATTATGAGTTCACCTCATGAATGAATAAAATAACATTTTATTTTCTACAATATTTATTTTAATTGACTAATAAAACAACACATATTCTTATGAGCTATTGCATTATTATATAAAATAAAAGACACAGTAACAATATGATGTTGTAAAACTGTCCAACAAAGTTTTGACCCACTTCGAGAGACAGATTAATACTTTTTGAAAAGTTATTATGCTACTTTCAGATGTCCAAAAATATCAGTTGACATGGGAACTTTCATGATGAATGTGTGATGATTCACAGACTTGCAATCACAAGTTTGACAGCACATGAACTAATGATAGCACACACACCCACACATGTGCTGTCATACGTACAAAACTACTCACACACAAAATCTAAAGCATGAAGCAGTAATAACCGGAGAATTAATTAGATAAGATAAAGTGCAGATTAAAAATGAGATTAACGGGGATTAGCAGACATCCTCTAAACTGGACATCATTAATTAAAAAGAAACTTTAAACTCACATGTAGAGTGACCAGCACTGGGTGCTGTCTGGCTGAGGAGCCAGCTAGCAGCAGGATGAAGCGCACTGTGCTCCAAATACGCAGGACGATGAAGATGATGGGAATGAGTGTTAGTTTCATATCCGCCATAGAGGAGAAAGAGTGGGACGGGGGCCTGTTGGCCAAGATGGGACGGTACTCGGACAAGGCAGCATGCTGCGTCAGACAGAGTGAGACCAGATTTCATAAAAGCAAAAAAAAAAACAAAACAAAAAAGTCTGAGTATTTTAAAACATGAAGCATAAATTCAAAAGTGATACATGACAGATGCTTGAGGCAAACATGACATAGGAACAAATATTTGTTTCCACTGTAGATTGTATCTCGTTCACTCTGTCTATGTGATCTTTGCAAGCTGGATATAACAGACAACGGGCCAACAAACAACTTGGTTTTATATGGAACTTTTTTTCGAACAATTATAAACAATGAGCAAAATGTTTAAAAATGTTTTGCTATTTGTACTGCACTTACTTTAATTATCATCTATCAGACTATGTATTATGATGGTGATCCGAACTCAGATGCAGATTTCAAAATTCTCAGCCTTTTTTTTTTTTTTTTTTTTTTTTTACACATCTATTTAGGTTTCTTTTAAGGTGTCAGGTGTGTAAGATTTAGGGGGATATATTGGCACAAATGGAATAAAATGTATAAGTATGTTTTCTGTAGTGTATAATCAACTGAAAATAAGAATTGTCGTGTTTTGTTACCTTAGAATGAGCCCTGTATATCTACGTATGGAGCGGGTCCTCCTCTATGGAGATAGCCATGTTCCACCACCATGTTTCTACAGTAGCCCAGGACAAACAAACCAAACTCTGGCTCTGGATAGGGCCATTCACGTTTTCGTGTCCGCCATTGTAGTTAGCTGCTGCTCCTTGACAAGCAGCATCGGAAAAACACTGATTTTTAACGTGAAACTGTTTTATTTGGTGTTTTTACTGGTCAGCAATCCTTTTTAAGTAGACGCCACTAAATCTATTTAAATCATATTGACATTTACTGTGTGTTTTTACCAAATATGTTCTGCATTGTTTAAGAGGTAGTTGGGTGAAAAATATTTCAAAGGGCTACAATTTAAAAAAAAAAAAAAAAAAAAAGAAAAGAAACCACTGGTTTATTTAATATATAGGGGATTTTATAAGAATATTCTCAATCTTGGAAAGGTTGTTTTTTATTCTGCTGTTCATGCCTTTGCACTTGGGTGTCATAAGAGTCCTGAATGTAATCTGCAGCTGCACAGAAATCATGTATCCTCACCGCTATGTGAATGTGCCTCTTGATCAGGATATAGAAGACAGGGAGGGTGAGGTAAGCCAAGAACTCCCAGATCTTCCCAGTCAGCAGCATCCACAGGACCCAGTCAGGAGCGCCGATCCTCACCCAGCACCAGCCCACCGACACCTCTGACGCATCATAGCCAATCTTCTTCATGCACACGGCTATGACGGTGATGGCCAGAGGAACGCCCCAGCTGGACCACAAAGCAGAGAGTTTTAGAGAGGATCAAACACAACTTCCTCAAAGGTCAACTTCCTATCTTTAAACGTTTGTACGTAGATGTTTGGTTGGTTCAATATCCACAAATGTTGCAGAGACATGTGACACCATGTGAGAGATTATCTTGTGCTTAAGGCTTGTGCGTGTTGCACTGCAGAGTCATAGCAGTTGTGTTGCATTAGCTTAGTACATCATAAAACCACAAAATGATTTCAGCACTTTTGGACACAAGGTTTTCCCCTGAAGCGTTATCTTTTCTCCTACAACACCAATTTAAAAGAATATACTTTCATGGCAATACATGGCTGATCACTATAAATACACAATGCTCAAGGCCTTATGAGTGAGTGTGTGTGTGTGTGTTATATATACAAGCCTTGATGAATGGCTCTGCTGTGTGATCTTCAATTCAATGGAGCATTTGAGAATTCACAGAAACAAAATTAAAATGACAACCACAGACACTGCTGAGGCGTACCCAGGGGTGAAAATGTTCTCGTGTCCAAAAATAGATCAATTATACAGCGCTACACCACAGTGAATCAACTCCCTCCTTACATCTCCACAATCATCATGGACAGCTCATTAACGTGCAGAAGGAAATCTGACACAAAGGATGAAACATATGTGCCGATTCAGAGCATTCAAAGTGAAGTCGAGCTCATAATAAAACAAGTGGTCTGCTAAACCTGTTAACAACCTTCAAATAGATGCTTATAAAACAATAGGACCTCGTTTAATGAGGTTTTTATCCTGTCAAATCCAGTTTTAAAGAGCTGTGCGGCTGTGATATTTAACTGTTTCTGTAGTTGGAGTGCCTAAAAGACGTGCATGATATAACCAGTCAGCTCAGTACTGGGTGGTAATTATACATAAACATAATGAATGCATGGTTCCAGTGATCAAATCTAATAATTTTTGCAATTCAATCTGTTTAAATGTGACAAAAAACAAACTAAATATGAACCTATATTGTTAATGTCTACATTTTTGTGCCTTTAAAAGCCTTAGTGGTGATTTAAACTGTGTTAATTTTCCCATTTTGTTATTTCAAAACTTATTTTCTCTTAAAGAAATCCTGTAAACACTACAACAAATTCAAGAGCAAACATGATGAAAACCTTAATAAATATTAATCATACATATTCCAGAATGTATCCCAGAAAGGAACACACCTCCAGCAGAAAAATAGCAGACAGTTTCTATGCACCACAATTTTCAGTTTCCTGTTTATTCTGCTTTATTCAATTTTAGCTTATTTTCTCCCCAGTTTCATTTTACTGTTTTTAAATAAAATCATATGTATTCCCCTACTGCCCTGTGTTGTTTTATAACTTGTCATAATGTAATTTTATGTCTTATACAAAGCCATAAAAGGTGCCGTACAAATGAACTTGCCTTGTTTTATGGGGGAAAAAAAGTTTAGGCCATTTTACAAAGGCAACTCAGATCTAACATGCTTATTCAAGCCTAGTTTAGACAATGTAGGTTTTTTAGCAATTATGGACAAGAGTGGGAATACAATTCAAATATCATTCATATCTTTTGTCTGACTTATTGCCATAGTAGAGAAAAACCTGGGGTGGAGCTTTGTATCTGGTTAATGTGGTAACAGTTGATTTGCTCAGCGATGGAGCCTAAAGGAAAAAAAAAAAACCTACTACAGCTTAAATAGGAACTACGCCCATTTTCAAAATTCCTACATGTTATTTATTCCTGTGGTCTAAGACAGTCTGAAAATATTAGTGACAATTAACAGCTCTCTGTCAATCCCATAAAACTACAGTGCTTAAATTCAAATTTCTGGCTTTGAGAGAGAGTAGCTCATATTCACAAATATAAGGCTCTTCGGTTTGTGTACAAAGCCCTTAATACTCTGGCCCTGTACTACATTGCAGACCTTCTAACCCCTGGGGCTCCTGGCTGTCCCATGCTCCAGACTCAAGCTCAGGGGTGATGGTGCCTTTGCTGCCTGCCCCCAGACTGTGGAACAGCACCCCCCACCACTGACTGTTCAAGTCCAGACTCAAAACCTACTTATTAGCATTTTAGTGATGTGGTTTTCCCTGGTCATGTTTTTTTTTAGCATTTTCTTATTTTTATACAGCACTTTGGTCAACCTGAGTTGTTTTAAATATGCTTTATAAATACATTTGAGTTGAGAAATATTGTTGTTAAAACTTTGCTAGGTCATGGAAATAACATGTTGGAGCTCCTAATTTAGGTGGTGTTCCCCTTTAAAATCAGGTTAATCTCCCAAGAACAAATTAGTTTGTGTGTCATTATATCATACTTCAGTTTACGAAGCCTGAACAATAAACCCAGGATGACAGATCCAATAATTCGCTAGTTAAGTTAATCAGGAAAACCGCGACGAGCCCCTGTGTGGTGGAGTAGAACGCCCGTTGGAAAGTGTTACCATGGAAACATAGCTCTTAGCGCCGCTCGGAGTAGCTAAGCTAACTTTGTAGACTTGTGTTTAGTCTTATTTTTTTCTACCAGTAAACTAGACTAGTTTGTGTACTTTTTTTAAGTCGAAGGAAGCTGGTGGCAAACTTTATTTGATTTTGCTATCCTAAATTAGTCGAGCGTGCTGTCTTCGTCACCAGGTTGATATCCCAAGATGCCTCAGGGTACAGGTTCGGCTACACTAACTTTACTTGTCTAACGGTTAGCTTAGAATTCACTTACACTTAGCTTGGCAGCCAGAAATACACGAACAGCCAGCCCGAGAACTCACCTCACAAGATGGAAAAACAACACCAGGCTGTCGGCGACCCTCTGGCTGGACCTGACGATGAACACGTACAGGTAAACAGCGATGGCCACGGTCCAGAAGAAGGAACTAGTGTTGGCGAAAGTGGATATGGCTCCCTGCGCGACGCACTCCAGCGAGTCGGTGTGGAAAACACTCCAGACCCCGACGGCGTAGGAGACGGCGGACAACCAGTCAGACATCGAGAGGTACACCAGCAGCCTTCTCGGAGTCGTCCTCAGATCCGACCAGATAATGTAGGTGATGATGATGAGCGAGGAGCCCAGAAACGACAGCGCGCACGAGCACAACACGATCACCTGCTCAGACAAGTACACAACCGTCCGATTCCCATCTGCCATCGTGAAACCGTGTGTGTAAACACTCCCCCGAAAGGCACTAGTCTATCCTGTTGTACATTTTAATCTTCACCGTAGTCCCTCCGCGTTATTTTCCCTTAAACTCAGGCGAGAGGAGCTGTGTGATTTAACCAACTTCGTCCATTGCTTTTGAGGCAGCCAAACAAACTTTTGCTGCTGTGTTTAACCCCTCCCCCCCCCCGCCTCCTCTCTGCGCGTGCTGCTGCACCAACCGGAACCAAAAGCAGAAGTGAGCATATGGGCAGACTCATAAAGGTCTATTTGTGGCTCTGATGCTTACTTGTCTAACGCCGGGTAAAGCTATGACAAGTTTGTCACATTAAAACAGATGACAACTTACAATTTTTCCATTCCAGGCCTGATTTATACAGAAAAAAACCTCAATCCAAGCATGCTAAACACAGAGCACTGGCCATGGCATTTAGCAGTCATATATATAATATTGCATCTGATTTTATTTGATTTTATTTTCACATTTAAAATGAACAAAAAGTGCCTGTTAACCTTTATAACTGTTTCACTCCACATAAAGGCTTACCAATACAGTAAATTGCTTTACAAAGCACAGGGTAATAAAACAGTCATATAAAAGAAATAACTTACAACAGTAAAAATAGAAAAGAGTGCATAAAAACATAAAGTAAGATAAGCTAAGACAGAAAAATATTCAAGAATTGCTTGAAATCACATTTGCACAAGGCTTGACTTTATCAATACATTTAAAAAATATTAATATTACTTTATTCAGTAAATCCTACCAACAGAATTGTAAGCTGCAAAGAGATTTTTTATTTCCAATGTCTGTTCTTGTGTGTAAATACATAAATGCATCGATAGTCATTCCCAAAATGTCATTTGGACTGCAACTCATCAATAAATCTTTAACTTTTCTGGGGGGTCGGGGAGTTAGCAGGATTAATTGCATGCTTGATAAAATAAGTCAGTGACAAAAACGACTGTCATAAATTATGAGAGTCCGAGGTAATGTCTTAAAATTTCTTGCTTTGTCTGACCAGTACAGCAAAATCTGAGGTGTTTCTATAAATCAGAAAGAGCAGCAAACCCTCCAGTTTGAGGACCTGGAGGCAGTGAGCGATTTTTTTCAATTAGTGAATAATGGATTATCAAAATATATCAGATTTCAAAATTGTTGACAATTCATTTTCTGTCGTTTGAATAATCAGTGAAATGACTAATCATTCCAGCACTGATTATTATGAAGGTAATCCACAGAACATTAATATAAATTTTGCCAATATTCCCCAGGCTTTTTTATATTGCTAACTGAACTGAATGAATCTGAAACACTGAATTTAAACAATGCAGATGAAGTACATTTTTAATTCGTTAAAGGCAGTCCACAGTGACACATTGCATTACACAACCAATATGTAAGCTTTCTATCATAGGAGAACCTGAGACTGTCACCTGCAGTGAACGGAAACGGTCTCTGCATTCTGGGCAATAAAAGGCTTATTTAAATGAAATTAAAATAGAAATTTAATTAAAATATGCTGTTGGTGGTCACCTTTTACCTCAAAGTAAATGTCCTAGTTATTAAGCGGTTCATTAGGATCACAGACCCCCATAATAAAGCACACATTTGAGACATTTTTGAGTAATGAGTCATGTCTGCGGCACTTTGTGTCGAGCAGGTGTTAATTCTTTGGTGGCCTTGTAATTTACCAAAGATTTGAAGTGTAGAAAGATTCAGAGCCATAAAGCAGCGACCTTGTGTGAGAGCTGGATTTTACTGCTTCTGCATTGCTGCAGCCCTGAAAAAACTGCAACTCCTTTTTGTGTTTGCAGCAATGCAGTGGCGCGTTGTCTTTTCACTGCAGTCTGCAGCAAACACATCTGCATTATCATCAGAATCAAAAATGAGCGAAATACACAACGTTTTCCGTCAAGTGTCAACAATAAATTAACTAAAGATTCTGTAGACAAAAGCATTTTGCATCTTCAATCAGGAGCACACTATACATCCAGCTGCATCTGCGTTTGCTCTGTGTGTGTGTGTGTGTGTGTGTGTGTGTGTGTGTGTGTGTGTGTTTGTGAAAACCTAAATTAGTGTGCACCTGGCATCCAGGCCATTCTGCCTCCTCTGCACTCATTAGGTCAACTGTGTTTGCATGGCAAATTTTTTCAAGGGTCTCAAAGTGCTGCTTTCACACAGTGCAAAGTGGTTTATGAAAAACAACTTTTCCATAATTACAAAATGCTTGTGTACTGTGAAAACAAACACGGCAAGTTAATAAATCAGTCTTTATGTAACTTTTATTTACCCTTTTTTTACAGACATACTTTAAGAAATTAATATGCTGCAACTGAAAAATTAAGGATCAACCATAGAAAACGTGCTCAGAACTCATGAAGCAAAATTGAATTTGGTGACAAATCAACATGCATTTGCAACAAAAAAATAAGGAATCTGAAGTCATAGAAAGCTGAGCCATATTTTCTGAATGAAAAGGATTTTAGACTGTGTCATTGAAAAAAAAAACCCTGTAGGGTTTGGAAATTGCTGCAGTGTTATAGAACAAAAGCATGCTGGGAGGTTGCGTTCAGTCACAAGATGGCAGCAGAGGACAATAAAAGTACAGCACAGTGAAGAAGTTTGATGCTCTGATCCAATTGTAAATATTGTAGAGGCTGTTAACAAAAAGGCCATGCGCTCAGGTGATCTATCTTCAGATAATTCTGTATCAGGTCCTCAGCTCTGGTTAATTTCTACAGTGTCAGCACACGTGTAAAAACTTACAGTAGCAGCAGGATCCGTGTTTGCTACAGTGCTGATACGGGCTTTTTCCTTCCTTTCGTGACGGCTGTGATCCCAGGGCCTCTTATTGCGAAGAATTTCTGCGGCAGTATACTTGCTGATTGCTTCGTTCTCACTCCTCACAACAACCAGCTAAGACACTGCCAGAGAAACACCCACAGCAGCCACGTCCAAGTGTGTGTCCCTCCGTCTGCCTCTCCCCCAGCAGGATCTTGAGTGGTATTTGCCGTACACTTCCACCTGTGCATCTGGCACTATGGGGACGGTGATGGTGGTTGGAAGGCAACAGCCTCGCACTAAGGGCCCCCCGAGATGGTGTGGTCTTATGCCAGCAGCCGGAAGCTCTATAAGAAAAGTAGGAGATAATAATTGAGTAAGAATTGGTCCATTTAATAACCTTATAAATTGTGATGTAAAATAAAATAAATGCGTCTTTTTAGGAATCTTGAATTCAGATTTAAAAAGGCGGCACCCTCCCAGGCCTAGCTCGGTTTTATATAACTGCATTGATAAGTCTACGCTCGGCTGCCCAGAGTGACCCAAAGCATGTTCCCAAACAGATTCCTGATACTCCTCTAGCCTTTTATGCAGCATCACTTTAAGTGCACACAACTTGGGCAAACACAAACACCCCCGAACTAAGAATAGACTTACCATGACTCATGATTTTGCAACAAAAAGCTCTGTTTGACTTAGCTGTCATCTATCCGTGTGTGGCTATCTGTTCACACGAGTACCACAATATGCATGTGCCCGTGTGTTTATGTACGTTAGGGACTAAAATCCCCCTTGCTATCAGTTGCGTTTGCTCGCTGCAGTGCTATTTTGGGCCGGCTGACCACTCCATACTGTCCTCTCCCTGTGGACTCTGCTTTGCTGACAGGACAACATGGAAACCAGAGAGCAATCTGCAGTCACTAGCAAATGAAGGAACAGAGGGAATTATGGAGGAGATAGAGAGGTGTCAGGAGGGATGTTTAGATGACGTACAGTTGGACAAATGTCCTCTATTGAGTGTATCTTCACTGTCCGCAGCAAGGCTATTTGTAGCTCTACATGTCTGCTCTTGGTGCATTTTATGACGCATTTTTGGTTGTATAACTGGAAATTCCTTGCCCGATGGCTGGTTGGAACATCTTGACCTTATCCTATGCAGAAGAAAAAAATTAGATACTTCCAAGAAAAATGTTTGTGATGCTCTGATGCTGATACTAACACTAAATATTTATTTGCCTGCCCCCATTTCACACGCACAGACACAGGTGATGCGCACCAACAAACACAGAAACCCCTCTTCTTGACCTGCTTTTAGTTTGCCAAACGGCTGCATCTGTGTCCCTTTGTGTGCCGAGCCAGGCGCTGCCTTCACTGAACACATGATGACAGGAATTCTTTGCTGCTCAGGGCTTGATGTAATCCCTAATACAGGATTGAGGAATGCCAGTGAAAACAACACCCTGCTTGCTAAATGAATGACTGGCTGCCTTGCTGCATCACACAGCAAACAGCAGCAGCAGGAGCAGCAACGCGCCTCAACTCACAAACCTGTCCACAAATATGTTTCAGGCCTCAGGCTGGGTTCAGCTTCCCTGACAGAATGGTGGCTTCCTATTTCAGTACTATCAGACAAACAAAAAAAAGACTAAGGTAGTGGGAAATTGTTCACAAATATTGGTGCGAGGGGTGGAGGAATACTGAATGAATTAATTTAGCTTTTCAGGTTTGACAGGTTTTAAGTCATGTTAAATACACCATAATTTAGACTATTTTTTTTGGTTATAGTGATATGAGTAGGTATGGGCTTAAATATGGATATTACGGTAACATACAAATAGCTTGCAATTTACATATATGTCCTAAAATAGGCAATATTTATCACATAGTTAAAGTGTGATGATACAGTAGCAGGATACTGGTGCAAATATAATTGAGAGCTCAATGTGGTTATGGCTGCTACTAATATTTAATTTAATTAATCTGCCAATTATTTTCTCAAATAAATGATTGATCGCCTTTCCTTAAATCCAAGGTCAAACGTCTTGTTTTGTCCGACCAACAGATAAATATTCAGTTTACCGTTGAATAAAATGAATGAAAATCTTTGCAACAGAAAATGTGTAATAAGGAAATGTTTTTACTTGAAAAATGACTTGAATGGTTTATCGACAACCAAAATAGCTGCAGATTCATGTTCTGTCAATCGACCAATCGTTTTAACACAATAAAGGTTGATGAATTTGATAATGTGGAGTTATATTTGACAGATGAGTAAATAATAACATGGTCACATTCTTAAGCCCCTTTACTTACTTTAATCAGATAATTCCTTTCCCCTCAATTCGAATCATAGTTTTGTTCACTAATAATATTTCAATAATTTAATGTTATTTTACAAATAAATATTTTTGCATTAACAGCAGCAACAGTTGGTAACTTTTATGAAATAACATCTTGTCATATTTGCTCAAACTGTCAACACATTATTATATGAGACAGATGGTCTGTGAAAAAAAAATCATGTTTCTCCTCTTTCGTTTGCTTCTAATGGTATTTGCTCGGATCAACCGCGGTGCTCCAAAAACAACCAATCAAATACCAGGGGTCTATAACGCAGCTGTCAGTCATGTCAATCACTGCTCATGAACCAGTCAAACTGTCAAACGAGCAGCGCTGATCAAATATGAATTCATATTTTGTAACTGCATTGCCCACTTTTAATATATTTCCTCAAATGTTTTTCTAAACATATTTTAGTGTACTGTATGTGATCCGGCTGCCATGTTGGAAATATTGGAGCAGCACACCAAGCACCGCCCACCAGACCAGCTTTTTTATTTTACAGCTGAACAGTACACTAAAACATGTTTCTAAAAACATATGAGGTGAGAAATAGGCAATGCAGTAACAAAATCATGATTCCTATTTGATCAGGGTTGCTGAGTTTGACAGTTTGACTTCAGTTCACAGAATGATTGACATGATTGACAGCTGCTTCAGAGACTCCTCCGCTCTGATTGATTGTTTTTGTTCATGTGCAGTAATGCCATTATGAGAAATATGATGAGGTAGAGAATATGATTTTTGTTTTTCACAGATCACCAATCTGATGCACTGCTGCACAGATACTATAGTGACAGTTTCAGCAAATACCACAAATGTAATTTCATGAAAGGTGCCAGCTCCAGCTTTAAGATGACCTGAAAAGCACGAGTGCAAAGTGTCAGTAAGTTTGACTTATTTGGTTTGATGATAGATGATCTGTTAGAGAATGATTTCGAACAAAATGGCATTTTGGTAATGGTACTGACTTGACACACTGTCAGAGTTTTAACCAAAGGGGTGTCACACTCATCACACTCATGCAGAAATGCAGTGCTTCGAATGTTTATTTTATTTCATTTTTTACACACATTTATTTATTTATTTATTTATTACGAGTTATTATTAGTCAATGTATTAGTATTAGAGCATTAGAGGTGTCACATCTACAGTGTCAGTGTAATAGTCCACAAAATGCAGTGTCTGCTTTCGACTGGCATTTGTTTAAGTAACCATGGAACTCTCGCATGATACACTCCTTACAGGCAACACTTCTCTTCAATAACACGGTACATTTATTGTCACATCGCCAGAAAAGAAACACATACACACACTATATTACACACCCCAACCCCAGACTCACCTACACTTCCTGTGCATGCTGTGTCCCTCTGCTGTCAGGCCTCACACACTGAAAAACACTCACCCAGCCACCCAACACTACCCCTCTGCACTGCACCTCACCTCCTCCCTCCTCTCTGCTGTGCATTTCTCGGTTGTTCCAGTGTCAGCTAACGACGCTCAAACAGTCATGCTTCCCTGCTCCAGTCCCGTTCCACAAACTTATAATCTTACGGCTAACAATGACACCAGTATTTACAGTAGAGCCATGTTTCTGAACAATGCTACACTGACACGCGCTATGACTGTATGCCTGGTGCTGGAGCTTACCCTCCCCTAAGGCTGATGTAGTAACAAGTATTGATCTAGCTTTTTAGATATTTTAATTTAAATTTAAAAATTCAAAACCACCGCTTGAGGCATTTTAAGTCGATAGAAAATGATCAGAAGTAAGATGTTTATTTTCTACCCTTTGTTTGAAAGTTTTTGAACATTTTTTGGGGAGAAAATCGGTTTCATAAGTATTCACTTATCAGTATTGTATGTCAAACTGCAGTGTGTTAATAATTCAGCGGTTTTGAGTCTTACCTACTGTGCGCACTACCCCTGGTTACCAGAAAACAGAGTTGCCCCAGTAACTATCTGCAGGCTTGACGACACACATGTAAAATACACAGATCATAGTACACAAGACACTAAATGATTATCATTCAAGTCATTTGGATGATTAATGTATTTGAGTTTTGACAGGCATATATGAGACTTTACTGCGGAGCTAATCAGTGTGACAAACAGCAGAGTAAGGTTGTCTTTATCTGCCTTTCTGTGTACAGTATGTGTAATCGTGCTGACTGTATTTAACCAGATACTAATCAGTTGTGAGAAACTCTGAACTCTTTATCTCTTTGGTCTTTGCTTTTCAGGAAGGAGAGGCGGCCTGCTGGGTGTCCTGATGTGGACCGGCTGAACAGAGGAGAAAACAACAACAAAAACAGCTGTCCTTCCCTGTGAGGATCAAACTATGGTCGGACAATGATCGTGGACTCCCCGGGGACTTGGGAAAGGGTCACTGTTGGTGCTCTGTGTGTGCAGAGGTTAGTGTGCCACTGTGTGATTGCTAACTGTGTGTTTGGGCGTATCACGGTTCTCTGCAGTCAGTTACCTTTTGTACAGTTACCATGGCATCATGTTAGCATCAAGACTCGGCTTTGGACGCCTCCAGCACTTAGAGCTGCACACTTCAAATTAACATTTTCTCATTTATACTTCAATCAACTAACAGACCTTATTAAGCAGATCTGAAGGCCTCATTTCAGCATATTTTGATGTCCCCATACTAATTAGTGTTTCTGAAGTTTTTACTCAAAGTAAAGGAGCGCTGTACTCCACTCTGTAATAACAATTAACCTAGACACTCACAGAACTGCTCACTTGCAATATTATATGTCAGAGGCTTTTATTCACACACAGTTTTGACACTCACCACCAAGCAGCTACGGCAGCAGTGGTGCTCCTTCATCCTCGCTCGTCCTCAGGGAGTGCATTCTGGTGTTGACATCAACAGGAGTGTGTCCACGGGTGCAGCAGCTTATTGTGTGGGTCACTTCACACTGGCAAACTGTTGACCAGGAGCCTCTCTGCCTCTCTCTGCTTCACTCAGGCTGCACAACAAGTCAAGGCATGTTCCAACACGCCACCAACAGCCTGACCGGGTGTATGAGCCTGCTCCTAGACCAGAGGGGGAGGAGCAGAGGATCAGAGAGGGGGGAAACCCAGAAAAAAAAACCCAGCATGACTCAGCCTGCTGCTTCAATTGGCTAGCACACACAGCTTTTACTTTGAGCACTTCAACACATGAAGGAGTTATTATTTAAAGGTACATTAAGATTGACTCTCTGTGTGACATGAAGATTTCTTTACAAAAGCAGAGATGATTTGAGGCAAAAAGTTTTAAAGAGAAGAGCACTTTTGAGTTGGACTGACTTGTCAGATCATCTTTGCTATGTCATAGATCATAAAGAAGTACGGTTTTCCTGCAGGCAGTGACTTCTTTCTCTCTTCACCCTCTTGGCCCAGCGGGTGGAGGCACTTCACAGTGCTGTCTGTCTTTCCTGGCTAACACAAAAAACCTCAGTCTTCTTTGGTAGAAGCTGAATGGATGCAAGTAAAATTAATATCTTAAAATCAGCTACACTTTTTTCCCATTCATAGTTTTATTAGAAAGTCGTCCTGTTTTCTCTTTACCATGGCAGAATGAGCAGTTTACAGAAGCTGAAAGCGGACACCAGCACAGCATACTAATGAAAGCTGCTGATTCATTAAATCATTTTACACAGTAACCCACAGTAGGTCACATCAATTACAGCTGAAGACCATCAGTATGAATTACATGACTGTGAGAATCTTAGGGAATGCATTAGCAAAGATATGGAAAACCTGTGAAATATTAATATTTTCCTGGATCTGTGATGTTTCATGTCAAATATGAATTTAAAAGCAACTTACTGATGCAGCCTAGTAAGAATCCCATACGTGATCCAGCACAGAGATATATACAAATGTATATTCAGTCTATTTAGCTACTGACACATTTAATTGTATTAAATGTGCAGAATCATCACCATCCATGAGTGCTAATTATTCAGAGCTGCTCTGATGCAAGCGGGGGTTTTTTTTTACTAGAGGAGGGGTGATGCCAGTTCATCACTGCTGTAGTGGAAGTTGATCACTAGGCAGATTCTGGGTGCAGCGGCAGGAACCAGCTCAGCAAAACTCACCTGCTACAATATGGTCTCAATCTGGCTTCCTGAGCATCTCTAAAGCACTGTACTGTACATCACTGGTGCTGCTCTCCACTGCAGCCTGTCAACAGACTGATGACCTTATCAATGAAAGAGCAAAGTCACTATGATGTTACGCCCAAAAAGAACTCAAAGCACTTCGCTGCTGCTTGGAGGTTTGTCTTTTTCCCCGCTGACAGCATCTAGAGAAGCTGCACAACTTTGTAAAAGAGCAGAGGAGGCGTATTTGCCTGCAGATAGTTGCTTTAATTTATTAGAAGTGGTGATGCGGCACAGCACTGCACAGCAGTGTCTTGACAAGTGCCAGCAGTAGTTTCACCAACTGAGTTGGTTCTTAATTTATGGAAACACGAGCTGATGATCTGTTTGCACGGGAGTGAATTATGGACAGTCGTTGAGCTAGCCTACTCACAGGAAATTATTTTTCCGCACTTTAATAGCTAAATCATCATGTAAAAGTGTAATTTATTAATCTTCCAATCTGGGACATAGACTGCAGCTCAGGCCACACACTTGCATCTGTGCAAGTTGTGGGGGGGGGGGGTGAGTTGGGGGGGCGAAGGAGCCCCTAGCCCAGCAAGTTCAAAGCTTGCTGCATTGATTACATCATCGGAACTGGAGTGCTGGAACGGGACAATGCACCATCGGGGGGTGGGAGGGGGGGTAACCAGCTAATCTCACCATTGCCTCCATGAGCTCTGTGTGTGTGTGTGTGTGTGTGTGTGTGTGTGTGTTTCTTTCTTTCTCCTCTGTCTCTAAACTCAGCTTAGTCTGGTCCAGAGTGAGACGGCCTGCTCTCCCTCACATTTACCACCACTGTGTCACGTGGCTGGAGGACTGTCTATGTCTGAGAGAGAAGGATGTGCATCCTTGTGTGTGTGTGTGTGTGTGTGTGTGTGTGTGTGTGTGGATGTGTGTGCATGTGTGCTATTAGAGGCCAGCACTGCAGGAACTCAGCTGCTGCAGGACACTGCAGGATTGCTGCTCTGCTGCTGGCTCACTGGCTCTTGCTTTTTTTTTTCTATCTCTCTCCTCTCTCTATTCACTCAGGCAAATTGCTCAAGGAGGATGGTGAGAGCATGTGCTGCATACTTTTTCAGCAGGGGAGAGGGGGAGGAGGGGGGAGTGAGTGTAGGAGAAAGGAGGAGGAGGAGAAGGAGGGGTGGGGGGGCAGCAGAATCACAGAGGTGCAAAGCATGCCGGTGAGGCGCTGTGCTGGGCAACTGTACCTCTGAGAGAGACTACAGTAGAGAAATTGGAGACGAGGAAGGAGGAGGGAAGAGGAGGAGAGCGGGTGGGAGGTGGGGGGAGGGCAGAAGTGAGGTGCAAGGAACATCAGGTGAGTGCGGCAATTTCCTTTGCTGGCAGTGCAGCACCCACCCTCAGTGAAAGTGTGAGCAGGAGAACTGCAGATGTTCCAAGATGATGTCAGGCTCCGGATGTGGTGCGGACCTGATGTACAGTTTGCAATCACTCTGTTCCCTTGCGTTCGCCTGCCTGCCTGCAGTGGGGAGAAATCCAAAGGCCAGAGGGATGCTTTGGACTTCTGCCTCACAAAGCTGACGACGCAGGGCTGCCTTTTTCAAGGTCTTAGCACAGTTACCTGAGGTGAACTCAGAGCTGACCGTTCCTGCATACAGGCGAGCTGACCTGGCGGGATCCATCATCCAGACCTCCCAGACAGGTTCCAGAGCACATTTTGAACACTGACTCACTTTTTTATGAAGCGTTTTCGCCCACAAACTATTTTTACATGGCCTTTGAAAAGGCTCGCGGTTGAGCGTAGACAGTGCAATATGGCATGGAAGACAAAAGTAGCAACATCGACTTTTAGAGCAAGAGAGTTGCTGAGATACTGCTGCTGCAGAGATATCACCAAGCGTACGCGTATCTCTGCTCTGAGAGATCTTTTTGTTTCTGCTTTTATCCAAGAGACAAACAAAAGCATATCACAACGACTGCACAAACACCACACTACTTTTTCTCACACAGTGTGCGTTAAACTCCCAAAAAGAATCATAAAGAGCTGCACCCTGCCTTGGTATCCACTTTTAGGATGGCTGAGAAGTCCTAGTAGCTAGAGCACAACTTCATGACTGCACCACAGCTCCCCTGTCCCATGCAGGCCACTGTAGCCTCATTCTCATCCTCCCCCCATTTCCAGCACTCACCGACATCCTAAGAGCACTGACACAATAGATCCTTCTCACCGGTGTGCAGCATCATATTCACAGGTAACACATGCTGCTTAATATAAACCCACAACTACCAGAGAAAAGTAGAGAGCTGTGTCTGTCTGCACTCTCCTGAAAGCTAAATCAGCAAAGACGAAAGTCCCCTCTAGTGGAGGGAACTCTTTGCATCCTGGTTAGTCTTTTTGTCCTTGTGTCAAATGCAGAGTCTTCTCCACCAGCCGCTATCTGACACGCCGGCTGCTATTTCCAGCCTGTACCATGTGTTAAACATGGATGAGGGAGCAGTGGAGCCTGACTGCTAACTGACTGGCTGTCTGGCTGGCTACTGCCTGGTTATTACTGGTGCAGAGGAGGCTGACACTGATGAGACAGAAGCAGCCGGGAGCTCCAACACTGCAGGCATGCACACCGACATACATATACCAAGTCCTGTAAGGCTGATTTAAGAAGTACAGCATCCTATGCAAAGACATAAGGAGGCAACATAAAAGGTGAATAAGACCAGAGAGGAAATAAATGTTTACCTACAGATGAGTCTCGGACAGCATCGTTCACGGGGCGGAGAGGAGGAAAACTTCTCTGCACTCACTCTGAGCCTCTTGGTTGCTGGTGATGTGCTTTCATGGCGTGGCAAAGTTGACTGCAGCATTGCCTCCTGAACAGAATGACATTGTTTGCACTCTCTCTCTCCCTCACTCCTCCTCCTCCTCCTGTACGCGCTCGCTCCCCCTCCTCTTCTTTGCACGCTTGCTGGCAGCATAAACTGCACAGCTCAGCAGTGTTCCCCCACTGCCGCAGCAGATCCTGCATGAGCTCTGCGTATCTGAGTGGGATGGGACTTTTAAAGGGGAACGCAACCTCCAGGGTCAGTGTGTGTGCACATCCTTATTCTGCCCTCCTCTCCTCTCTGTCCTCCTCTGCAACACCCCCACCCCCCACCAACACCCGCGAGAATCATCAATGTAAAGGACTCCTCACAAGAGAGACCCCCTCCACGCACACATAACTCTCCATCCCCTTTTATTCATTTTCTCACTACAGCAAACGCTGCTTTGAGATATGAGTGTGCTCAAACCTTAGTGAGGAACAGTTTGCTCCACAGAGAGGCCATCTCCTCTGGTGTGCTTTGAAACTTGTCACAATATCTCTGAAATGTAATTTCCTCTGAAAATGATGCCTGAAAGGGTTTCTGCTAGTATGAGTTGCAAAAAAATGTATTTAAGACAATTTAATTTAAAAACATGTACCTGTAAGATCAGAGAGTGTTACACAGCGTCAGGCTAAATTAAGGAAATCACAGACATGGTCACCGTTTTAAAATCAGAATAATTGTCACCTGTGATACAGTAAAAAGAAAAAGTGGTTAATTTATTTTACCCATAAGAAATCGTTAAGAATCACATTTTAACAACGTATGTCAAAAAAGCATGAAACATGAAACACACCACAGGATTTCTGCACACAGGTCACCACAGCTTTTTGACAAATGAGCATTAATCATGCGATCAGTCATTGAATGGCGCTATTTGAAAGCTGCTTTCTCAACACAGGCTCAAACTTTCACAATTCCCAAAGGAGCAAAACCTCCTTCAGTAAAGTGAAACGTCCTTAATCTGCAATCCCTATTACCTGCCTTTCATTACCCAAGGTGCACTTCTCTACTGGTGCAATTCTGCAGTGCGCTAAAATATAGAAATGTCTTGACCAGCGGAATTTGTCTTTTGCGCGTTGCACAACTCTGCAAGAGTGAGATCATCCATCATTTAGTCAGCCAATAAGGTTGAACTTCTCTTTCTGCAATGTCTTTACTTCACACAAAAAACGCACTTGGTGCTACGCGTCCCCCGCTTTCCGTGATGACGTTTTGCGGTGCGCTGCATGGGCTTTCGGATGGGTAATGGTGGCTCCATTATAAATCCTGTGCATTTTAGGCATCAGCGTCTTGGCCAGTCTCTGCAGCAGTGCAGCTCTCTCTGCTTTCACTGCAGGAGCCATGCTTTTAGTTTTTTTACCCATGACTTTGTTCCCTCACTTGAACCCGATGATTTTTTTTGTCCTCTGGTGCAAAATGAGTAACTGCATATTAACCCTGAAGCCATCAAGACAAGGTGTGTGCTTACCTGTTTTAAGCACATTAGAGTTTGTGTATCATATCAAGGCTTTCCCTCCCTATTAGCTTGTACCTCTGCCCTTATAAAAGACACCACTGCTGGGTCAGATTGCTGAATCAGCAAAACTCACATAATGGAACATCTCTGACTACTGGGGATCAGTTAAACGAGGCTGTCCATATCCGTCAGTGTCAGTGTGAATCATAGGTATGCATCATGTAAATTATCCATCAGCTGAGAGCGAAACATCTCTCCCTGCATGTACGATCTGCATGCCTCAGTCTGCCGAGCCTTGCAGCATCTGTCCTCTCCTCTGTACTCTGTGACACCGGGGAAAATGCCCCCGCCAGCATATCCCTCACATAGCCAACGCCGTTCTCAGTAATGGCATCCCCTGTGATGAATAAGCCATGAGGAGGGGCCCTTTTACATGTCCTATTAGATTACCTCCCTATGCTTTACCTGGCTACTGTCACCTCATCGCCTCTGGCTGCGCACTCTTCTTAATATTCTCCCTGGTTAGCCCGGCCAAGGGCAGAGTGTGTAAATGTGTGCTAAGGCTCATAGATCATATGAGAGATTTAAAGTAGAGTCATCTTATGCAGTTCATTGAATGTGTACATACACGGCTCTCTCTCATGTTTATGGTTAACGTTAAGGTCTGGGAAAACTGCCTGACGATTAGCTTTTTTTCCCCAGTTGATAGGAAATGTTTACATAAATAAATGATTGATTTTTGTGCCGGTATCAAACCGGACGTTATGCTCAAATGAAAGAAACAGGGGTTATCTATCAGGGATGGACAGTCTTGACATGTGCAGATAATGGAGTCGAGCCTAACCACTGGCTGGTGAGTTTGCGTCTTTTTTTTTTTTTTTTTCCCCCATTCACAGCCCATTCCTTGGCTCCATTGATCTGTCCGGAAAAGATAATAGACACATTGATTCACAAGCTCAGCAGCTTGCTTTGGTTTACACATCAATTCAGACTAATTCTCAATAGTCCTCAGTCAAGGAGGAGAATTGCCTTGACTGACGACTGACTCCTGGGTCTTTTGAAACTGTAGATTAAAAAGCGGCGCTGTGAAGATTTTTCCGTCTCTTTTGGGCGTACAGCATAGCGGAGTTTATTTCTGAAAATCTGACGAGATGTAAAATAAAACAGAATTTCAGTGTGCATGAGTGATTAGGTGGTTATAAAGAATATTCTCAGGGGAAACCTGACATTGCCAATGGAATCTAGCAATGAATTAACTTCACAAAAACTTTCTGTCTGTGCTCACTTCAGACAGTCTGGCACAGAGATAGACTGACTGATGGGATCCTGATTTTGTCGAAGGTGTGTGGCGTGTTTCACTGCGCCAGTGCTTCTTTGTTGACCTCATTTTGTAAAGCTGAGCAGATTCCCAAGGCCAAGTGGAGTGAAAAAGACACACTGTCAACAACAAAACAGGCCAAACCTGGTGGTTCAGAAATGTCTGTAAGCACACAAACTGCTCTGTATTCAGAATTGTGAATTCATTATTCCACAGATCATTTATTTCACCAACAAGGAAACGCTCTTTTCTGTTTCATCAAAGAATCACTCGCGACATTACTCATCGTGATATTAAAGATCCTGTTTTGAAAGGCAGAGCTCGATATGTGAAACATATAAAGTGCGAGGACTCATCAGTTTCTCTCTCAGTATGAGAGATAGTAGTAAAAGGGTCTATGATGGATTGGCATTATGGTGAGTGGCTGAACTTCTGACAGCTGGCTGCTCTGTTGTGGTGAATGAGCAGCAGTTCCATCAGCTGCCGGTGTCAGCAGCAGCCAGTTTGCTCTCTACAGAGGTGTTGTAGCAAAGCATAACGTACAGATCAGCTTTAACTCAGTGAGACTGCAGCCTTCATTAGGCCTTCACACACTCATAATATCAATTTCAAGCATCCCTGTTTTATATTACAGTATAAAAAGAAAATTGTTCTGACATGTTTTTGTTTTGATTCCCCTTAAGCATTTTTTGTATTTAAAGGGATAGTTCACCCCAGAATCAAAATAATATATTTTCAATTTGTTGAGATTTATCAGTCTAGATTGTTTTGGTGTGATTTGCCAGTGTTTTAGATATTGGCTGTAGAGATGTCTGCCTTCTTGCAAATATAATGGAAATTGATGGCACTCCGCTTGTGGTCCTCAAATTGCCAAAAAATACTCTTGGAAAACTCAAAAGCAATGTCTCTTTCTAGAAATCATGACCAGGTTACTCAAGATAATCCACAGAGTTGGTTGTGAGCAGTTTCATGAAGGAGCTATTGGCGGCGCCACTGGCCGCACACATGTGAGTTGTCGACGGTGACAACGTGTGTGACGGCTTCGTCGAGTGTACCAAGTGCAGCATGATGCTGGTATATGACAGCAAAAAGTTGGGGACCTCGACACTTAAGAGACACATGACGAAGGCTTGTCATGGAATGAAAGACGTGAGTCAGTTTTCAACGTCCACGTTCGTATCCTTAAAAAAAACATGTCGGGTTTAAACCAGGCTCGGGCTCGGGCTCATAATTACAGTTAAAGGGACAGGCTGGGCCGGGCTCGGACAGAACATGCACGGGCTCGGGTGGGATCAGGCTGGATTTTTTGGGCCCGATCTAAGCTCTACTGTGATTGGATGGCTGAGTAAAAAGCTACAATGACAAGCACAGCATTTTTCCAAAAGTTAAACATTTTTCAACGCATAAAAAAGACAAAAAAAAAAAAAAAAAATCAAACCTGCAGCATTTAGCGCAGAATAGACGCCCAGCGCCTCATCACACTGCTTCGGTTTGTAGTGAAGCAATGTGTGGTGCTCCCTTTGCTTACAATTAAAAAAATACACTAGCCTCAGGGAAGGGGAAAAAAACACTTTGATGGACATGGCCCCCTAATGTTTACATCTCACGCTGTCATGAATAGATGCACGCTTCCTTCTGCACAACGATGCGAATTGCAGGTGTAGTACTGCGATTTGCAGGTGTAGAAAGAAAATAGTTTCTACATGAAATTGCTCACAATAAGGTCTGTGGATTATCTTCAGTATCCTAGTCATGATTTCTGGAAAGAGACATTGCCACAGACACAAGACACAAGCTGAGTGCCATCTAGTTCAGTTATACTGGAGAAAAGGCAGACATCTCTACAGCCGATATCTCCAACACTCTGCAACTCACACCAAAACAATTTGGACTGATAAATAGCACTACAGGTAAGAGGGAAAATATGAATTTCTAATTTTGGGGTGAACTGTCCCTTTAAGGTGAATGCAGTTGCATGTGCACCTTATAGTGCAGGTTAAGTAAATATTTCTCTGACTAGAGAATAAAGACTTTGGACTTTGTGTTCATCTTATCTAGATACCTTTAAGCTGTAAACCAGTTAAAACACACCTATAAATATTAAGTGTCACAGCCGGGCTGCATTTCTTTACACTGAACAAAAAAAAAACATACAAAATGATCCTCTTAAAAACACTCAAGGACCTGACTTTGATAAAAAAACATCCTTCACAGGGAGCTGCCACAGTCCATCACTGTAATGCTTCTCTTTTGTTTTTTTCTTTAAATGAAACATTAATTTTGTGTGATTGTAAGGCTGAAAACAACTTTGTGTTTAATAGAAAATGTGCCACTCGACTGAATATGTTTTCTGGTGTTATTTGTGTCAGTTTCATCTGCAATCGGCTGGCAGCTTGTTATTTTGGTCTTTTTCCCTGCTGCATTGTGTTCTGCGTTTCAGGTTCTTGGAGGAGTGTTGCATATCCTCCACAACAATCCGTGTCATCTGGAGATATGTGTTGACTCCTGGCCTACATTCACTACTGCCATTTGTTACCGTCAAAAACAGGTATGGCACACGGGGACAGAGATAACTTATGGGCTCCTCCAGAGTGGCCTGTTGATGTCTATATCTGCCTGTGAAGCATTTCAGCAGCAGCAGGAGCAGCAGCATCTCCGGGATGATTCCTGACATCTGCACTGTCTTCACCAAGAACCCAGAAACTCTGCAAAGTCTGCTGCTTAATGAGAGAGTCGTAAACTGGAGGAGCGGACTCATATTCAGAGGTAGTGTGGCAGAATGAAGGCATGACATTTGCATTGAAAGACGGGAGCCAACGATGCAATGATTGTGAGTTTGTTTCAATGTATTTTTCTTGTCTAGCAGTCTGCCCCAACCCCGTTAGTTGCTGGCAAATATTTAAATGTTTATAGATGGTCTGCAAATATATACTTTAATCTTAAAAAAGGCTCAGACACTTTAGTTTTTCGTGAACGTTACTCAAACAGGAGTGAACTGTTGTGTTTAGAGCTGGGGGCTATGGAGAAAATTAAGGATCACCATATTTTGGTAGAAGAATCCTTGATATCAATATTGCAATAATATTGTAGGGTTGACTATCGGTGCTTTGCGAAATATGTTTTTGATAATCATCAGTAATGTGGATATAATGACTAATAGGGAAAGGCAAGAACAGCTAGAACAGTCTGGTAAGTTCAGAAAATTACATCACTTTAATGTAACACAGCCTTTAAAGTCAGGAGAAGACAACACTTACAGTATTATAATATCCAAAATCTAAGATGATATCTAGTCTCATATCACAATATTGATAAATCAATATATTGCCAAGCCCTAGTTGTGTTTGGAGCTCTAAGGAAGAGAGGAGTAAGATATTTTGGGCTTTGATACATACACAGACAGATTTGCAGGATCAATTCATTGTTGTTTTTGATCTTTTCATGGAATTTGTTGACACTAAAAATCATGTAAAATATCACCTGACATATCTGGTTAATGTAAATGTGGAACACATTGATATTTTTCACTAATAGACTTGCATTTTCAAATATATTTGCTCTTGCAAATAATAAATGTGTTATTGAGAATGATAAATGCAGACATTTTTATTTCTCCTCAGAACCAGCGTTGCCAGATGGGAAATGTTTAACTATGGTACCAGATGTTTAAAATTATTGTATTTTGAGTAACATTATCATATGTGAGTCATAACCAGGAGAACAAATAGGCACACAGGTGTACTTTTACAAAAAATATATCTAGACTTTTTGACATGCCTACAAATCTACCCTGATCTTAGAGCAAGCTGACGTAGCCATGATGGGTGGAAGGTGGTCTGAGTCCATAAGTCCATCAGTCTGACAATTTCTGTCATAGCCTATTGTTACAAAATTAAATTACAAGACAGCATGACTGCAATCCTGTTCATGTTCTGCATGAAAACAATTAAGGCCATCAGCTAGATTAAAGGGAAATTTCGGTTTATTTCAACCCTTCTCCTATCGTCCTAAATTTGTTTCAAGTGACTAGTGACATAGAAATAATAGTTAGCATGTTAGCCGTTAGCCTAGATACAGCCGTAGCGTCAGACCTGTTAAAACGTAAGTGAAAGGGCATACCTTCAAGTGCAAAGTTAGTCCACTAAACAAGCTTTTTTCCACAAAGACCGCCTCATATGGTTAGGATAAATGTCAGAGAACATATAGAAAACAACATGTAAACGTGTTATATTACCTTACCGGTGTGTTGCCATGTTTGTTTATCCCTCTAGCTCTGCTTTCCAAAGCGTGGCCGAAATATCGCGAGAACAAGCAGCGATCTCATAGCGTGCCTGAACAAGCAGCAACAGCTGGAAGGCAGAACCAGACAGTAGCCTGAAAAGTTCATTCATTTATTTTATGAAAGATTTATAGAATAATGGCTGACTTTTTGCCAGACTTAGACTTTGTGGAGGAGGAATTTGATTTTGCAGAGTTTGATGGCCGCCCTTATTTATTTGAGCCAGAATACACTGAGGAAGAGCTTCGTGAAATTGAAGAACAGAGGAGGAGAGAGAGAGAGAGCCGCAACAGGTAACGTTAGAGGATGAGAGGGGAGGAATGGCTGCTGCAAGGCTGCGTAGCTCTGGAGATTGGTGGTGTAACTGTGAATGCTGCCCCAGTGCCCACAGAAGAGGAATGCCTCTGTTGCAAGGAATGGGACCGGTTGCAGCCTTATTTTCAAGGTCTGGATGTGACCGAGGACGAGACACCTCTACCTGGAGTAGTATCCAGCTGGGCTTTATCTAGAGCTGGCGAGATATATTTCGGCCGTGCTTTGGAAAGCAGAGCTAAATGGTAAACAAACATGGCAGCACACCGGTAAGGTAAGACATCACGTTTACATGTCGTTTTCTATATGTTCTCTGACATTTATCCTAACGATATGAGGCGGTCTTTGTGGAAAAAAAAGCTTGTTTAGTGGACTAACTTTGCACTTGAAGGTATGCCCGTTCACTTACGTTTTAACAGGTCTGACGCTACGGCTGTATCGAGGCTAACAGCTAACATGCTAACTATTATTTCTATGTCACTAGTCACTTGAAACAAATTTAGGACGACAGGAGACGGATTGAAATAAACTGAAATTTCCCTTTAAATAAATAAACTTGGTGCACTGGTGAATTTAAAACAACTCTTCTTAAACACAGCTTACCTTAGTGAAAAAGTTCAAACTCCAGAATGACAGTCAAGCTCTCAAGTCGCTTTAATCAGAACCTACATTGAACATGATTGGCTGGAATATATGGCGCAGCATCCATATTTTGCTTTCCTGATCATGTTGGGAAACAAATTAAAATGAGACAGCACGGACTAAAACCAACTACTAATTATAAGCATTACAGAATGGTCAAGTTATTGAACATTATGGCACTTTTTGGCATTATTGATCATACAGAGAGCAAAATTATTATATAAATACAGTAATTATTGTACATCTGGCAGCGCTGCTCAGAACAGGCTGTCCATTGAGTCAATATAATGCAACACAGCAGGTGGTTTTAAATATCAGTGCAAATACCATAATATATTGTAAAACAACAACTACATGATGTGATTTTTTTCATAATCAGATAGTTCTGTAACATGTAATTTTGTGTGCCCCATGCCATGATTAGGGAGGTATTGATCTGATATGCTGGAGTAATATCAGCACAGATACTGACCTTATTAAGCAGATCAGGTATCACAACTGATGTACAATAAATACAGTGTTTATAACAATTTTGTGTCTCTGCTATGAGTTACATTCTTACAGCAGGTCATTGACTCATTTTACTTTTTTAAAAATAATTCCAGTGAGGTCTAAGCAGTGTAGAGCTGCAACTAACGATTATTTTCATTGTCGATTAATCTGTCGTTTATTTTATCTATAAAATGGCATAAAATATCAATCAGCATTTCCTGAAACTTAAGAATACATCTTCAAATGATTTGTTTGATCCACGACCCAAATACATTCATTTTACTGTCACAGAGAAGGAAAGAAACCAGGAAAAAAAAACACATGTAGGAAGAGGGAATCAGAGAATTATGATTTTTTTTAATTACTCGATGCAATTAATCGATTATCAAATTAGTTGGTGATTGATTTGACAGTGAACATCTAATTGGTGAATCGTTGTAGCTCTAATGCAGTGTGGTGTACAGATTTTAATTGTGGGAAAAAGGGAGCTCTTGTGTGCAATTGGTATTCTGTGTTGGTAGATACTCTGAGTTGGGGCTTTAGCATCAGGAAAGAAAAAAGTTGCATCGATGCATTCCCAGCCATGATGATGAAGGTAAATTAAAACAAATTGTCACTTTGTTTTTGTGTCTCTGAAAGGTATTCTTAACTCACACTGCCATCTCATCAAAGAGCTCGCCTCTCTCGGTGGGCTTGATATCACAGAATATGGGGGTTATAACACCTTCATCTACAGCAGCCTGCAGAATAGGCACAGGCAAGAGTGAGTTTCTGAAATGTTTTCATGACCTCAGTTCGTGGCAGCAGCTCCATTATTTTTTGTGGCTGATGATTAGAATAGAAACTACGATATGCATTTCTTTGATTTATGTTCATAATTTCTGTTCACATTTTTCTCTGCCGAACAGGAAGGTGTTGCTGCTGCCAATTTCCACTCTGGACGAATCCCACGCGGAGCTCGTTGACACACACTTGCCTTACGGAGGCAGCCAGGAGAGCCTCAACCACGTGAGAGCCTGTATCCGCCATCTGCCAAACCACTGTGTGACGGATGAGACGGGCCGGCCTATGTCCTGGATGCTGTCTGATGAGCTGTGTGAGCTGAGGATGGCTTACACCCTACCAGAGTACAGACGGGCCGGTCACCTCCTGGCTCTGTCTCAGGCTCTGATCCGCAGGATGGGCTCTGCGGGTTTACCCGTCTACTGCCACGTCAACCAACAGAACCAGGCCACCATTAACGCTGTGACCTCACTCGGCTTCTCTACGTGTCCCAGTATGGAGGAGATCTCAGTGCTGCTAATATGTAAGGACAGAGTGTGAATGAGCAGAAATAATAACAGTAAAGTCTAGTTGGATGATTGAAACCATACTGGAAAAGCAATGTTTTATTGTAGAAGTGGAAATTGTAACAGCTGCTCTTCTTGTTCTGTGATTTCTGTTTCCCTGCAGTACTCAGGGGATGCAGCGCTTTAGAGAGTTTAGTCCATTTCTGACAGCGAACTGCAAGTAGAACAAACTCAAAAATAACATTTTCTGTGGCTTAAGAGTGGATGTGATGAATACGCCAGCCGTGCTCCTTTTTACTCTGTAAAAATGTCCTTCATTGTGAAATAATACTGTTCGGACAATACAAGACTTCAGTTTGACTCTGCGGAGCGTGCCGAGGTAAAGACCCCCTTCATCTGCAGATCACCCAAAGAGGCTCTCGTCCACCTGGGACCCCTCCCCGGAGGTGAGCTGATCCACTGCTGATTGCCTCTCTGTGTTTTAGCAGCAATGCACCATTCAAGTCTGCAGGCAGGCAACTTGACAAATGAGCAGCGATCTAAGCAGAGGGGATGCTCGTACTGCACCACACACTCCTGTCCCATCCACATCCCCCCGTCCCGCAGTGGTGCACCTCTTTTAACTGACACCCTTTCCTCGCTTTAAAGTGCTCTTCTCAAAGTCACACAAGTAGAGTACACGCTAAGTACATGCTTACTAATGTGTGTGCATCCAAAGACGTGGCTAGAAGAGTGAGTTAATACGAGCCTGTATATTTCTAGTGTTGCTTCTTTATAGAAATGTTGATCTGTGTTTTAATCAAGTTGCACAAATTACCATATCCTTTTAATACTTCACATAATTAGTGAGTGTTTCATGTTTGGTTTGGAATATTATTAATCATCTTAAAGTAAACTTGTAAATAGAGCTAAAACAAGTCAAGTCAGGTTTATTCATACAGCATATTAAAAAACAACAAATGTTGACCAAAGTGCTTTACAACGAGATTAAATTAAGCAGAAAACTGTCATAAATAAGAGAATATGAGTAAATAAATAAAAGAGTAAAATATCTTGATTAAATTGTAATGCAAACAGAATTGCACAAAAACAAAATGCAATACAAGCAAATGAAAACAATTTAATTGGCAACCATTTTGATAATCATTCATTTAAATCACCTTTAAAGCAAAAAAGCAAAGCATTTGCTTTTTCCAGCTTCTCCAACGTGAGGATACGCTGATTTTCTCTGATTTTATATCACCGTAAATTGAATATATTTTTCAATTGGACTGTTAGTTTGACAAAAACATCCGAATTTGTCACCTTTGGTTCTGTAAAATTGTGACAGGCATTTTTAATTATTTTCTTAAATTGTATAGACTAAATCAGTGATTCCCAACCAATTTCCTTAAGGGACCCTTTCCTTTTATTGAGTAACTTATGACCTCTGACTAAGTGACATATTTTGTGGATATTTCATATCATATTTAATGCATAACGACAACAGTACAGAACAACTGATAAACTGTACAATAAGCCCAGATGGTGAAAACAATTACTGCAGAAAGTTTGTGAATTAATTTTGAGCATATTATTTTCCTGTGATTATTACATTGGAGAAGAGTTTTCCTGATATTGTTAGGAACGTCTTTATACGATTATGTTTTTTTGTTTGTTTTTAAAAAAAATCATACATACTTATAGGCTTCTATTTTTCACATATTCATTTTTCTTTTTTTCTCCCTGACTCTCGGCCATTGTTCTATCAGCTCTTTGTTATAGCTGAATAGTTTTCTAAAGCAAGACGAGCCTGTTAAGCACAGAGTGAAGGTTCTGTGAATATAGCTTGTGTTCAGGTCTTCACTGTGTCCTTACCCTGAGAGACTCTGTAATAAGTTCATATCTTTAATAATAATCTAACTTTTAAGAATGAAATGAAGTAAATGCTGAGACATAAGACTTATCTATCTATCTATCTATCTATCTATCTATCTATAAATTTTTTCTTACACCAGCTGTCAAACCTTAGCAACCCCTAGAGAGGTCGGGACCCCCAGGTTGGAAACCAGTGGACTAAAATGATTAAGCAGTTAATTGAGAAAATAGTTTAATTATAGAGCTTAATCGATACAGAAAATGATGGTTAGCTGCAGCACCAAGTGTAAATTCAGTGCACTAGACTGAAGATTAACAGTTTGTGTAAAGGTTAAAAAATAAATACAGGTCAGTATCGTAGGAGTGAATGATTTTCTACACTCCTTTGTCCGTGTGATCTACTCTAACTGAGGATTATTTTTATAACTGATTTCTGCTTTACAAAGCTGGACTGCACAGGTCTTATATTGCAAGCCGTCTACTGAAATATGAGATGTCTCCTCACCTACAGCTTGAATCTATTTGAGTGCCCAACCTCCACTACAGTCAAAGAGGTGTAGGATGATAAAAAAAAAAAACAGCATCAGGAGGGGTTTATGCAGGCTGCATCAGTTGCAGATCTTTACTCATCCCAATGCAGATTCGTGAGTCAGCTAAGAGGCAGAGAACATGAATTACCTGACGGCTGAACTAGTTCTGTGGCTTCATCAGTATGTTGCCTGCAACTGCAACCATCACTTGAGGACAGCATCCACCCACTGGTCCTCCTCAGAAACTGCATCTCAGATCAAGTGAGGAGCCGAGTGTCTGACGCAGCATGCGATCATTCACCTTGGCTGCAAGTGCTGCTCGGACTTGCCTTGGTGCAGCTGTCCACACATAACCCCCACCGACACCCTCCACCTCCTACCCCCCCATAGAGGCAGTGCACTCTGCCAGCCGTGGAGTGGGACGTACTATCGATCCTGCTGAAATGATGGTTTCTAAAAGGGAGGCAGTAAGCATGTCTGCGCTCCCCTCCTCCACTGTAGAGGGGCCCTGAGATATCACCAAGCTCAGCACATTGCACCATCACCGCATGGGAAAATGGGATTTTCACTGGGAGACGAGCTGAGGGGAAGGTAATTCAAGCCGCCGAGCTATGTTCCCCACCAAGGATGTAAAACGAGCCATATTACCTTCAGACGCCTCGCACAGTGGACAAATAAGGTCATTTTAAATGTCCTATTAATTCCAGTCCTTGTCATGGAGAAATCAGATGCCAAACAGGGGGAAAAATCTGCATGAGTGCTGAAGTTAAGAAGGAAGTGAGGAGAGGGAGGATGTTCATTCAGTAGGCACCCATTCATCTTTGCAGCTTTTAATACTTGTTCAGGATGAGCACGTGTGCCATCATGTGCCTCATGTATTGTATCACTCTGTAAGCACTGTTATTCTGAATGAGTGATAAATGAATGAAGTGCAGCTTTATGCAGACAGTTAATAACCTAGTGTGAGGCTGTGAACCTCAGACAGGAGGTGTCTGATCCAGAGGAGCCACTAGATGGCAACAGTGTCCTAACATTTACCAACACTCAGGTGAAATTTGGTGCATGTGTATGCAGTGACTCACACAGGGCTGCAGATTTAGAGGAAATTCTGAGCAGGCTTTTATAGTTGTGAGTGCCCGCTACACAAAATAACACTAAATAGGAGCTGACAATTATTCATTACGGGGAAAAAATGACTGTGCTTGTTTCCATTTCCTTTTATGAATGAACTGTGTTGCTGTAAAGGAGCTCCTGTTACTGATGACATTTGCTTGGAAGATGAGGAGTGACTGCATCAGTCGTCCTGCTCATGAAGGTCACACGTGCAGGCTGCATCATCCTTGTCAGTCCAAATCTCCTGTCAGTCACCATACTCAACATTCCCCTGGGGTCACTGTGTCAGTCAGCGGAGTGTGATTTTGACTTGCTGAGCAGCAGTGACTGACGTTTAGGATCTCCACTCGTCTTAACGTCATTTTCTGCTTTTTTTAAACCGTGTCAGCGAGGGACTGCACAGCCTGAAGGTCAAGTGTAACAGCAAAGTGTCCCAGTGTGTCAGTGTGTGAGCAATCATGGTTCACGGGTGCTGTCGATAATGTCATGCCCCAGCTGAAGCTGGTCATGTAGGGTGTGTGTGTTTGTCAGGAAACCAGACATATCTATGAGCTCATGTTTTGTTTGTGTGCGTCTGGTCCCTCTCTAGTGTTGTGTCATTTGTGAATGTGTCTTTCAAAAGAGTGAATTTTTTGAGCGAAGGAGCTGAACTTCCAGAGAGTCCGCCATGTTGTTCTACCGTAGCCCAGAACAAACAAATCTAACCCTGGCCATTGTAGGTCACTAAATCCTACACACTAGACCTCACAGAATAACCACAAAACAAATTCATGCTACAGAAATGAAAACCTGATACAACAAGAATCTTAAAGTGCGATCTGAGAGAGCAACAACCCGCCATGGAGGTTTGTCTCAGTGTGTCTCAGTCTCTGTGTCTTCACAGCTCAGTGTGGGTTCGTCCTTGTGTGTGACTTGTTCATCGGCTCAGTGTCTGTGCTTTGTGCTACTGGGTTAGCTCAGTGAACAACAATCTCTCACTGAGTGGCAGCTCTCGCTTGTTCCTCAGCTCAGTGCATGTGCGCCCATGAACGACTAGTTCTTCAGCTGAAGCGGAGTCTGAACGAGAGTCTGGAGCAGCGTCTCTTAGGAGTTTACCTGGCTTTTAAGCACGACTGCACATGCACTATACACAAGCAGGATTTTAGATTCACGCCTACCTGCGAGTCGAGTCAACTTGTTCCTCTTTTAAGGGGAATTACACCCATGTTCAAAATCCATACATTTATTCCTATGGTCTAAAACAGTGGTTCCCAACTGGTGGGTTACGGTCCAAAAGTGGATCGTGGGTTCATTCTGAATGGACGGCAAGTGACTCGCAAATGTGTCAAGTTTGTAAAAAAAACACCTGATTTTAAAGTACAGTGAATTACTGGCACTGAGCATTTATTTTTAGTTGCTGTTTCCTGCTGTAGAGTGAGTGACTAACAGACAGCTGTTGACAGAGACGTCAAACTAGCTTGACGACATGGCCAAACGCACATATGACGCTGAATGTATTAAACTGTGTGGACCCTGTGGCTGGACCAGTTGGGAGCCACTGCGCAAACTGCTCACACTGAGAGCACCCAGGGGAATTTTCTGCATTTTCTTTTCAGCACTAAAAACCCCTAAATTAAGCTCAGCTGTGGCTATAAAAAGACAACAAACATTTTGTGAGTCCACAAAATCAGACTCCCATTAATTGTCTGTGGAGCAGCTCCAGACTTTATTCTTGATGACATCACAACTTTGAGACTTACCTCTGTGGTTTCTGGCTTTAGAGTAGCTCATGTTCAGAAATATTGTATGAAATTTCCCGGGCCATGGAAATATCATACTGGAATTCTTAAACTAGGTGGTGTTCCCCTTTTAAGAGTCGTTCAAAAACAATTATTCGTCCGCGAATGTAACATAACTGCGACCCTTCAACTAAGGATTTAAGTAAACCGTCTTGCCTTAATGTCAGACTAACACAGACGTGAATAAACAGAAGTTGATGTGTGATGTCCTACCTGACTTGATCAGCATGGGAGCTCAGAGCTCGGTGCAGCCCAGGTTACTAATTAAAAGGATCCTGTGCTAGTGATGCACTGGACTGAAGTTCGTTTTGTATTGGGAAGAGGCTGGTGGGTGAGTAGTTTCTATTTCTGTCCATAGAGTGTATAATAATAATGTGTATACAGTCTGTATTTCGGAAAGTACGACCAGCATATATTTCAATGCAGAGAAGACAATGAAAATATGATTTTATTATAATTTTCTGCTTCTGTTCTGTAAATGCTGGTCAAATGAAGGAATCTCTATCTATTTTTTTTTAATAATACGTGACATTTCAGTATTTGATTGGATATTTTTATGTAGATACAACCACATATTCTAAATTTAATAAATAGTGTTATCCAAAATGTAATGTGCATCTGTGTTTCCTTTTTTATGCAAATATAAACATGCAATGACAGTTTTAAAAGTCAATAGTCTTTGTCACCATGAGCACCTTTTACATGAAACTTTATTATTGATAAAAGAATTATTCACAATTTATTGTCATTAATATGAGATTATTTCAAGTGTATGCTAGATGATATGATTGTTTTTCAGTGCTCCTGCTATTTTATCACTTTATTGTGATTGCTATCATGTATTTTTGTGTACCACTGAATGTGAACTCAGGGCATTGCTGTAAAAGAGCTTAATGCTCAGTCAATTTGGCCTGAGTAAACAATGGATGATGACTATTATTATCATTAATATTATTATTATTATCACTAAAATGACACAAGGGGTTTTAGGGTGATGAAATCATTTGAGAAAGATTATGTTAAAATCTTTTGAGAAAAACAAAAAGACAAAACATAAATACCAATGAGAAGTGCTAATTAAAAAAAAAAAAGTGTGAGGCCCTTTGCATGTGAAGTGTTTGTAAATGTGACCTAAATCTTATGGAGAAAAATTAAATATATTTAATTTTTCAAAATTATAGTATGCAAATCGTAAATCTAAATTTGGACAATCAGCTTCTTCCATAAAGGGCTGTCAACTAATTGAAAACAGACTGATAACAGATTTAAAATCCTTCACAACAAAGGTCAGGTGCTGGCTAAAAGCAAGGAATGTGGTTTTATTGCGCCTCCATTTTAGGTCTACATGTAAAAGTCTAACTAGGAGCAAGAGTTGAAAATTAGCAATAGCAATAAACTCTTTGGAACACATCAGTCCCATACTCTATTGGAATTATGTTAAATTGCATTTTCCCTATCAAATACAATAAACATAAATGCAAATAATTTTAAGAAAAATTTAAAATCAGCAGTGAAATTAAAATGTGTTCATAGTTTCATTAATAAATAAACAACCACACACAGAGAACATAACATCTGCACAAACTGCAGTACCAACATGAAACCAACTTCGCTGAGACCGTCAGTAGGGAGGTCCTAATCTAGCATAGCAGCTGGGAGCATTTGACCACGTGATGCGAGAGATGTTAGAGAGCAGCCATCATCATTTCACCTAATTCATGTCCAGCCTGAAATGGTAAAAGGTAATTAAGACGACAAGGAAACTGAAAACTACGATGGAGTAGGTGAAGCTCGTGAAGCCTCCTCCCGGTCTCATCCACTGTGTTGTTCCCCAACTTACCAAGGTCTGTTTGCTGTGTACTTTTCAGTCCCTTCTCCCCCTGCTCTCTGCTCATATGGTGGCTGCCGACGCGCTTGTTTCGGTTTCTGTGTTTCTCTTTACATCACATTTACATACTCGACATCGACAACAACACCCGCGAAGCGTTGTCACGAGCCAAAGGTCCGGTTCTGGGGCAGCGGCAGGTTGTTTCGTGTCTCCGCTCCTCGTTAACATTAGCCATGTTTTGTTGCTGTTGATGCTAACACGGTTTGTGCTGCTTGTTGTGTAACTAACGTCTCGAGCGCGGTCGGTCTTCAGGTTCAACTGAAACAACGTTCCAAAAACCGACGGTTGGTAACGTTCGACTCACGCGCTGCTCCTCTCTGGGGTCGCGCGTGGACGGTTCCACGAGACGGGAGCAAACGACTACCTGGCCCGCGAGAGCTTATTGAAGATTAGGCTGCTTTTACATTAGCTAGCATGACAGGCTATTATGGGTTAACTTGTCCAGAAGGCCTTCATACTCTCAATTAGCGGCTTATTAGATATATTTAACGTTAATAATAAACTACAATACATTAGACAACATATTTTACTTTAATTAAAGTCAATATAAGTTTATGTTTAGTTTTAAAGAGGTGTTAATTTAACTTTATGGCCATGTTGGAGGCTGTAGCTAGCCACTGCTGACTTGTATTGCTTCCATTATACCAAGGGATGTTTCATCATTCAATATCCTTACTGATGTATTTTCACTAGCCATTTTTTACAGTAAGAATAGACCTATTAATGTAATGTGTAACACTTGAACATCATTGCACCCTCCACAATGACCTGTCCCTGTCAACATGGCAAATCCAGAAAATTTCACCTAAGCCCCTTTAAAGCCCCAAACATATTTTTAATTTGACCACAGAACATTTAAATGACTGTATTCTGCGCAACACTTTAAAGCTTTGTACCCAAACAATGGCTGACTATGCCTTTGGTTAAACCTTGAGCTTAATGTACTCAGCAGGTCAACAAACAAGCTAGAGCTGAAGTTCAGGTGGGCCCGGTCTAAATTGGGTCTCACAATACAGACAAGTGTTTCCTTGGCTCAGCAAATCCAGCGAGCCCTTCCTCTTGCATTTTAATGAGCTCCAAACCAACCCAGGGGCCCAGGAACCCCGACCAGGCCAAGCCAGGATCCCGGTCCAAATATATCCCTCCACAAGCCACCTTTTAAACTCCTAATGGGCATGTTTGTTTTGAAGTCCAAGGTAAATGTGGGAAGACCTTCTCATTGTTGTGTTAGTTTTGATTTAGTTGAGCATGTTGTGTGCGTTGTAAAGTGGCCCTTTGCCACGGGGGGGGGGGGGGGGGGCTCAGAGTGTGCAAATTAACATGTTTCACTCTCCCCTGAATGTTGGACAGGCATTGAAAAAGAGATTGTTTACATTCAGATGCTGGCCACCCGCTGTTTGCTTTTTCTTCCCCCCTGTTTTCCAATCACTGAAGAGACATGACCCATTTAAATGGTTGTTTACTTGTATTAGAAGAAGAGCCAAAGCACTACTCAATGAACTCTTGTCTACAATTCAATTAGAGTGGCCTTCCCAGCAGCGCAGTTTTCCACATTACACAATGCTCTCTTCAGCCTAGCTGCAACACACGCAGAAGTACCAACACCAAAGAGCAGCAGTAGTAGTCACACCTGCAGCCACAAAAAGTCACATCATACGTCTCTGGGATATTGATGCTTTATCTGGAGTGTGGGGTATCAGATCCAACAGGGTTTTTACTATAAGAGAGCTGCCTGTGATGACCTGGACTGGTCCCATTGGCATTCAGAGGTGTATAAGTTTCCAGAGAAATATAAAAATTAGCTGATGTTTAATATTTTGATTCAGGCTCCACAGAAAGTGCCCCGTCACAGCTGTGGTGTATTGTAATGGAGACACTGAAGTCAAGCACAGCAGGTTATTCATCAGGCTTTTATTGTAGAGTTTCTGCGTTCCTGAAACTGTGTTCCCGCAGTCTCCCTCAAACATGACAGAACATTTTTATTCCTTTAAGCCAGACGTTTTATTACTGCGTTTCCTGTCGCCCTCTGACTAGATATAATAAGAAATGGCTGGAGTTTTTCCTGTCTTTTTTTTTCTCTTGCGGCTGCTTGATAATGGGTCCAAATTGGTGACCTCATGTTATCACAAATTCTTGGATTGACTCTGCTTGATCAAGAAAAGCTGGAGAAGAAGTAATGTGTTTAATTGAGGACAACTAATCAAATCAGGTTTGTTGTTTTTTTTTTGTTTGTTTGTTTTTTTTAGTGTTGTATTTCATGATGTTTGTGCGCCCTTATCCTAAATGAGTCACTTAGCAGAAGGAGCACATAACAACATGGGTGTTTACCAGTTACCCATGTAGAGCTCCAACACCACATGGAAATTGTTTTATAAACTGCGTCGGAGCTGACAATGAGAATATTGGGATCAAGGTAGGATGTTAGTTTTCTTTCAGACATTTTGTTCATAGATTCATGTAAAAATACATCGCTTACATGTTTCACGGTCACCTAGTTGTCCTAAAGTCAGGCCACACAGAGCAAAATTGCTCCTAACTATTTTTGGCTGATTATCTAACACATCTTGTGTCTTCAAGTGCACATCTGTGAAATTCTAATCACGCAAACTGAATTTGTCCTGGGTAATTACAGCTCAGCAGTCACATCAGATGGGTTATTTTTGTTTGTTTGATTGTTTTAGAGTTAGATTACTTGAAAACATGTTGCACAAAATGTTATTAAAATGGTTTTAAGCACAGTTTAAGAGCTTTATGTCACAATGTGTGCGCTGTAATGTATGTTGTCTTTACTGTGGGGGGGGGAAAAACAAATGCACATTCTCTGAAGATGTTAAATTTAAACATTTTAAGCAGGCACCTTATTAACTGCACCTGCTGACATTGTTAGGTAATGAATGGGCAATACTGTATGGATAAAAAAAGCTTCTATTAATGTAATTTGATGTAATATTTTTAGGAAAGCTGATTTGATAAACTGATCAAAACCAGCTGGATTGTCTGTTTTTGTTTTTCAGTCAATTTCAATCCCTGACAAATCAAATTACCTAACTGCTGATGCAGAAATGTTTTTCATAACCCACGGTATGAACACTCCTGTTGACCAGTTAATATCGCTCATAGTGTATATTGTCATACTGCTCTTGTTAGCGTTAAAGCCTGCGTGTACACAGCAGCATAAATCGGTCAGTTATTGCATGTTAAACTGTGGCCTTTCAATTGGACATTGTATATAGGCCACTCTATTCCCTGTAAATAGTCCAATCCATTGTATGCAATCTTTTCAATCAATAGCAAATATGTTTATGACTGAGTGACAGGAACTAGTTGTTCTTGTTTTTCTCGGTTGACTTGACGCCATAGGGAGCTGGGAAGGAGGGAAAACAAGGCCATACAGTCAGACTGCTTCAGACTTTAGGTTAACCTCAGATGGTTGTGAGAAAGTGTGTCACACTGATAGTGCATCTTTGCCACGGTCAGCAGATACACGTTGTCTCGCTGACGTGTAAGGATAACGTTATTCGTGTAATTCAGTGTTCGATCGGTACATCTCAGATTTCTGAGGTCGCGGGACACTGGCATCTTTATGTTTTAAATGCTAAACATCACATGAGAACAAAGCCACTTTTGAGCCAGCTCTGCAGCCCCGCAGCTAATATCAGTTGTTACCCACTGATAACCAAATTAAGCCAGTTAAACCATTGAGTAAATTTACCATTAAATGTAAACATGCACTGTAACATTTCCAATAAATGCACTGTAACACTGTAACATTTCCAATAAATGCAGTATAATGTAATTACAGTCTTACATTTAGCTTGCTGCTGTTAGTAGGATGCTAACGTTAAACAGCAAGATTGCTAATTAGATTAGTAAATAGTGAACTTGTTTGTCTTCTCTGCTTTCATCTCCTCTAATCTCTCCAGGTCGGCTCCAAATCCCACCTGGTGTGGCCTTTGCTGTCTGCAGCTTGTCACAACGTGGAGCAACAAACCTGCTTCTTGGGTTGCTGGAGCACAGTGGAGGAGAGGGTCTGAGGCTGCTTACTCCCCCCGTTGGTCTTTGAGGAGGGGGGGAGGAGGAGGAAGAGGGAGCTGCTATAACCACCCAGAGCATGGGGCAGAAAGTCCCAGGTGGCATTAAAACCATTGATATGCGGGATCCAGCGTTCAGCCCCCTGAAGCTGGAGCTACAGGCCCTGAGTCACACCAAGCCGTCTCGACTGGATCTGCTGCTGGACATGCCACCCGCCGGTGTGGACGTCCAGGTCCAGCACTCGTGGAACAATGACGACCGTTCCCTCAACATCTTTGTCAAGGACGACAACAAGCTGGTGTTTCACAGGCACCCCGTGGCGCAGAGCACGGACGCCATCCGGGGCCGTGTTGGCTACACGAGGGGACTGCACGTGTGGGAGATCAGCTGGGCTATGCGTCAGAGGGGAACGCACGCTGTGGTCGGAGTGGCTACAAGTGACGCCCCGCTACACTCTGTGGGCTACACGGCTTTGGTAGGAAGCAATGCCGAGTCCTGGGGCTGGGACCTGTGCAGGAGTAAACTCTACCACGACGGCAAGAATCACCCAGGAATAACCTACCCTGCCTTCCTCGAGCCAGACGACACCTTCATAATACCAGACTCCCTCTTAGTAGTCTTGGACATGGATGAGGGGACGCTGGGTTACATAGTGGATGGACATTATCTAGGGGTAGCATTCAGAGGACTTAAGGGCAGGAAGCTGTACCCAGTGGTGAGCGCCGTGTGGGGACACTGTGAAATAAGAATCCGGTACATAAATGGACTTGATCGTGAGTACAAACTTTATTAATATTCTGTTATTCTTTTCCCTCCTGAGCATCTGTGTTTTTGCCGTCTAGGACAGTGTCTTGCGTTCAGCCCTTACACAACCAGTGGCAGTATTTATTAACGCAATAAACAAAGGTGTGACAGTTAAGGCTTTATCTTGCTGTCCAAGCAGAGCACATTACTGCAGAGGGTTACTACAGAGCAGACTTAGTATGGCTGCCTGTCTGGCTATTATGTAAAACAGTTATGACCTGACATTATTTGTGTTCTCTCTTGGCAGTCCAGATTACATTTAAATTAATATTTAACTGTATCCATGAATCACCTTTTCTTTGAACCATGTCACAGTGCTCTGATCTTAGTAAGGAGTTAACAGAGAAAAGATGTGACTTCACTGGAACCTGCCCCAGTTTATATCATTAACTGTACCTTGCTTTGGTTTTTAAACCAGTCTGTGGCGCCTCTGTTATAGATGTTGGTGTTTATGGCTTTAAAAACATCCAGTGGTCCTTCATGTTTATGTACAAAGACAACAAGCTGCTTGTTTTTCCTCCAGACAAACATAAAATGATTTCTAATTGGATGAATCCCAACTATTCCATGGTGAAAGAGTCATGAGCTTTAAACGAGGAAACATAGGTGCTCATCGAAACATGCTGCACTACCCACATGTCCCAAGTGCTGTGTGCTCATTAGAGTTTTATGTTCAGCTCAGATCCCTTGACCTAGTTTAGGCCCGTGGAAAAGAAGCACTACAGATGCAGTGATATGCACAACAGCCACTTTGATTTTTATGACATTCCTCGTGCTGTTGGATGTACAGAGGGGAAATCCCTCATCTTATATGCTGATGTTCTCAACAGTTTGTCTCACAAAATGTAGTTAATCCTGTGGCTGTTTGGATCCAGGACGCCTTGTTGGCACTGCAGCTACAGGATACGGTTGCGAGTAAAATTAATTTATTATTTTCCAGCTCTTTTATAAATCTTCAAAAAGCCAAAAATAATGGAAAATAGCCACAGGGCTGGAGAGTGAACATCAATACTTTTTGAAGGCACAACAAAATCTGTCTGTAGCACAGAAAATCATCCAAAATTTGCAGCTGAATGTCTTCTTTGTTTCTTTGATCAGATATTTACTTATTTAAAGCACATATCTTGTTAATTTTAGTTGAAAGTTGCATGGCTGATAAAAACACCTGTACTATCTGAGATTTCCAGCGTCTTTTATAAAATCAAGGGGGATTTGTATAAAGTACCTATAGTCCTTCAAGTAAGGTTTCCAAAAAAGTATTGTTGCGGTAAAGACAGTGTAACTGTATTGGCAGTGCAATTATATATTTTCAAGATGCCCAACTCCAAGCCTATTATGTTTTTTTTTTCTTCTGACAAGCAAAAACAAACTAGAAACAAAAACATAAAAAGTCATGACAAATGATTGAAATGATCAGTAGATTACCAAAATTCTGTTGTTGTTTTTTTTTGTTTTTTTTGTACAAATTACATACACTACTAGCAGAGGTGTGGATGCTAATCACACGACTTGGACTTGAGTCTGAGAGACTGTAGACTTCACAAAATCAAAAAAGACTTGCAGTTAGACTTGGACTTAAACACCAGTGGTACTTGACTTCATTTGGACTTGAGCCTTTTGACATACAAAAAAATACTTGATACCCCCCCCCCCCCCCCCCCCCCCCC